CAAATGACTCCTGTGAGCAAGTAACCTTTCTTGGGCTACTGGTAGGGCTACACTCAAGCAGACACGTGCTTTTTAAAATAAATATTAGTTTTGAACACTTAAAAAAACTATAGCAGACAGAAATTGATTTGAGATGGAGAGAGTGAAGGTAGAGTTAACCTCTGATATGAAATATATGCACTAATAGCATACGGGTCCCCAGTCCATCATTAGGCTGGATCCACTTCTAAATTTCAATTCTGAGTGCAAGCAAATAAATCTTTCTGAACTTGTGGAGTGTATCCCCTCTGCATCCAAGTTATGCTGCTGTTTTAGTGATGTTCGTTATGGACTCACTGTCAGTGCCAAATTAGAAATTTACTCTGCATCTTCAGGAGGTGGAACAAGTTGTCTTGTGACTCACAGTGGGTAACAATATTGGAGAGTGTGGTAGCTGGTACTTTCTCATTTCTCTTTATTCATATTATCACATGCACATGTGAAACTTTCTTTTAAAGCATCTTGTTTTCTGGCTTTGAACCACTATTTAAAGTAAGTTATCATTAAACTCACATAAAAAGGACATGTCGGCTTTCCCAGAAGTGTAGGACAATTCTGACCTCAGAGGTACCACTTTTTCAAGCAAAGCACATCCTTCAGTGTGCATGTGTAAAAGTATTTGCACAAAGTGGGCATACCCTATTCCTTTTTGGTATTAGCTGCAATTGACTGATAATTAGAGATATTTCCCTTTTCTGTCGCTTGATTGTAATTCTACTTGTCAGGGGCTTGTAAAATTAAGTGGTGTCCCGACTAAATTACCAGGTAAGGGGTTTTCTTCCTTAGGTGTACACTTTGCCATCACAGATTATGAATCTGAATTATGGAGAATATGCTATTGGCAGTCTTCACAAGGAGGCTAAGTGGGCACAGAACATAAACCACATTCCCTTTTCTGGATTTAGTGTTTCCAAAATAGACCTGTGACAGAAGTAGACAATTAATAGAGCATTAAGAGAACAAGAGAGTTCCACATTTACCTGTGGGACTGCAAATTGTTTGGGTTCCTGCCCTGTATCCCCTCTTCTGGGGTCTCTCATCTAAGAATGTCAGCAAAATTTCTTTTGTAGTAACTTTGAAAAGGAGGAATTTTTATTTATTTATATTTTAACTTTGTAGAGCCATGTATGGTAAATAAATTCTGAAAGAAATATCTAGCTTTTTAGACACTTATTTGTATCCTTCCTGGTATTCAGCTCAGTGCCTTCAGTCCTGCTTTCTTTCTCTGGGCAATCTGATACTCTAAAATGTTCTGTACAGCTCAGTAGAAAAAGGAATTTGCTTTGTCTAAGTCATTTAATAGCTTTTAAATCCCAACGGATTACAAATTTGCAGCGTGCTATACGCTGGCTGTATCTTGATCTCCAGGACTTAAATGTGCTTTGAATTGTTACTCAATAACTATGAATAGAATTGTTAGTTAAAGCCAAAGCCATATGAACAAGTGGTATTGAAATAGGAATGGAGGGATGAGGGTTAAATAAAATGTGGATTGTGGAAACTCTTAAAATTTGCAAGTTAAGTTTTGCAGTAGCCTTGATGCAGTCACTAATGGCTTGCATCACTGAAACACAGTAAGTACTTCCCCAAATATCATTCCTATAACCATGTTTAGTCCTAGGAAAAATAAGCTAGTTTGGAAGGCACCACACGATGAAGCCACATGCTGAGAGTCTGCTGTGATGTACTGCTGTGGCACTTCCACGAGGCACAGGACAATTCTCATAAGGGGATAGATGGTACCATTCCATGAGCTGGTGCACTAATAGACCAGAAAGCTCTGAGAAACTGTACTTTAAATAAAAGATCTAATTCTCTTATTCTAGATATGGGAGACAATCTAAACTATGTATATACAGATAGTCTAAATAAAGAATCCGTGCACAGTAGAGTGCTTCAGTAGAACTTATTATCCCATGAATGGAGGCATTGTAGGTAATTCCTAGTTTATCCTTCAGAATGCTACAAATGCCCTTACTGCTGGAAAGAATCTTAAACAACCTACAGACATAAAAAAGCAGAACATAAAACCAGTGTCTGTCATCAAACTGTTTATTGAAAACACCTTGACTCAGCAGTAGCAGCACCTTTTCCTTGTTTATATCATAGTGACATTGGCTACTTAGTGTTTCCATAAAATGAACAATATTGAGAAAACTATTTGTATCTCAGTAAATTCAGCACCATAAAAATGTCCATTTTCAAGAGAAACTATTTAAATTACTTGAAAACTTCATGATCTTTGTATAAAACTTATGTTTTGTGTCTATCATTGCAGCATTCAGTAAGTTGAATCAGCTATTGTAGAGGTAAAGTAGAGGACCACAGTGAGATTAGAGGTGGATAAAATTCTAATTTGTTTCATATATGTATAATCATAGAATCAACTGGGTTGGAAAAGACCTCTGAGATCATCAAGTCCAACCCTTGATCCAACACTGCAGTGGTTACTAGACCATGACACTAAGTGCCACATCCAGTCTCATCTTAAAAACCTCCAGGGACAGTGAATCTACCTCCCTGGGCAGCCCATTCCAGTGTCTGATTACTCTGTCTGTAAAAAATTCCTTCCTAATATCCAACCTAAACCTCCCCTGGCAGAGTTTAAGACCGTGTCCTCTTGTCCTACTGCTGCTTGCCTGGGAGAAGAGACCGACGCCCACCTGGCTACAACCTCCTTTCAGGAAGTTGTAGAGAGTGATGAGGTCTCCCCTGAGCCTCCTCTTCTCCAGGCTAAACAACCCCAGCCAGACCGGTTGTCTTCCCCACCGGTTCACCTTTCGGCACACTGGGACAGCCTGCTCCTCTGTGTTCAAGACTTCCTTCTTGAAGCATGTCCATCCCTCCTGGACCCCTTTGTTTTCAAGGGCTGTTTCCCAATGTACCCCTATGTATGTATATATAGACACGAGTACTAAGAAGTACCAGGTTCCATTTTTTCTTAACAAACTGAGAAGTAGCTTTTTTCACAGTAGGAATCAGATTTGTATTTTAAGGCTGCTCAACTGGTGGGGTTGTTGCCATTAAACCATTAATTAAATGAAAAACGAGGAAAACTCATTTACTTGAGTGGTACAAGGTCAGAACACTTACAATAAATGTCTAAAAGAAGAGATGGAATTGGCTGAAGTTATTCTCCACGTTCCTCTTTGACTTTAGTGTGGTGTGCTTGGAACAGTTCTACAAACTGCAATAGCATCTGCAGATAAGCACATGTCCATCACTTAATTCATGAAAGGCTCATTTATTTAGTGGTTCAACTTTCTAATATTTATTGCCAAATTGCCATGCAAGGTTCATGTGCATTTACCCTTTAGTGCTTTCAGCTGTTTTTTCTGTATTACCATAATATTATTCCTTCCAAGATGCTTGTAATAATTTTTAGTGTTTGCCAATGACTTAATGTGGTGCTAAGCCTTTTCAGATACATATCACTAGAGTAAGATACTGCTTGAGGCAGACAAATTAGTCTTATAAACTAGATCCTAACTCTATAATGATCCAAACCAAATGCCATCCTAACATTCCATCATATCATGCCCTGAGGGTAGGGGTGCCTTGTATCTCTATTGTGATGATTGGTACACTCTGGTTTCAGGTCTCTCATGAACTCAGTAAAGCTAGTTACCTTAACATGAGGAGCATTTTACCTTCCTGAATGACTGCTTTTCAAGCTAACATCCCTTTATTAAAATAGATGAATTTGCAGAGATGCTTCAGCTGTACCCATACTTATCTCCGTCTCCACACAGAGTAACTTATGCCTTTACCTGCAATCCATCCTCTGCAGGTCAACAGGATCCCTGCCCAGAACCACTTCCAATACTTTCTTCTCTCTCCTCCTTTTCCTGGTGCCTAGAATTAAGGATTTCACTCCACAGCTTTGCCATATCCGTAGCACTTCTTATTTGCTTTCAATTCAATAGGAGAATTTGATAAAACTAAAGTTTAGCAAGCTGTTCCTTGTCACTGTACAAGCACTGAGAAAAGAGCCCAGGAAGCTGCAGGTCAATTGTTCATATAAATTGGGTCAAACCCAACAATAGTAAAACTGTTATTTTTAACAAAAGGTTGCATTTTTAAGAAAAAAAACAAAACATTTTGGAAAATTCAGTCCATGTCTTCTTAAGGTATGTCTAGAATTTACAAAATTCAATTCCAGGGAGAATTTTTGTCATCATCTACTGTCCTTCATTATTCTGTTTCTGAGAGATCAGAAATTAAATAATCTAAAAAACTACATAAGAGTAAAGAAGGCCAAAGGGAATTTCATATTGACAGTTGGGATATATTTTATTGTTTTAAACTATTTGAATTAAATATTTTTAAAACTATGGCAATTTAAAATAGCAGAAGAAGAGGAATTCCAAATATCTGACAATTTCAAGTAGCTGAAGTCTAACCTAAATACCCAGGTAAAACACCTAGTAAATACAAACTTGCTTTATATATCTTAACAGACACTGAAAAGCAAAGAGAATTTGTCAGAAATTTCATAGTAGCCTGTGTTTTGATTTAATTCATACAGAAACTAACGTGTATATGACCTCTGCAGATCAATGGAATTAGTTCTGCTTTTCATCTCTGCAACTAAAAGCAGACTTAGTTATTCTTCATGGAATAGAGAAAACTGCTCATGGTTGCTTTTGTGATTGTTTTTTCCCTGCAAACCTAAGTATCTCCATTTGTGTGCAAGCTTTGTCTTTATGTGTAGATCTTTTGTCAGGAGATGCATTGACAAGCAGAATCTAACACAAAATTCCTTCTATTCAAGAAATCCTTTGCGTCTTCATCAACATCTGGGATAAGAATTTTGAACTCGTCAACATGTATAGAATGAATGGGAGGTGGACATCCAAATCTCAGATGCAGAGTTTGCTCAGATGGCTTAGCAGTTGTTTTGGAAAATGCTGTGTTGATTAGTATTTTTTTTAATTTCTAATTTTTAATTACTATTACAGACATTTACAGCCTGGTGCAATTCTCATCTCAGGAAAGCAGGCACACAGATTGAGAACATTGAAGAGGACTTCAGAAATGGCCTCAAACTGATGCTCCTCTTGGAAGTTATCTCAGGTTAGCTAAAATAAAGTTTTCTATGTATTTACAGCACACTAACTGAAACACTCTTAGAAAAACAAAAATTGTTAACAATATAAAACAGTAAACACAAAGTAAACTGAAAAGTGAGAGATGAAACACACTGTAAAGCAAAAGGAGGGGAAAAAAAAGCTCTGCTTTCTCCTTGTCTCCAAAATTTTCTGCTTGGTGCTTGTGTATCAAGGTATCATTGATGTTGTTGGACAAACCAAAAACAACGAGGACCTTGCCTTAGCCCCTAACAATTAAAAATCCGTTACACTTAGGTTACAAATTCATTTTATTCTGCTTTTATTATAAAAGTTTTGCTTTGCTTTTAATGACTTCGTTGGATGGACCAATGCTTTCAAAAGTGAGTATCTAAAGCAAAACTAGATCAATATTTAGTCATAAGTAAAAGGTCTCATTTTTCAAAAGAGTGGAATATCCAAGAACTTTTGACTAACTGATGTAAACTCACTATGTCACCTTTGTTATGTGTTATTCAGAGAGGCAGTCCCCAAGGTGCACTCAGAATGCCCCTGAATGGGAAGGGAATAGCTCAAGTTACAGACAGACAATAAAGGTGAAAAGGGGCAAAAAGATTTTTAACACATCTTTATGGAAAATACAGTTTACATTTTTGCTGGAAATTTCAGTGGGAAAAGAAGATCTTCAAAGGATCATTGGTCTTTTTAAAAATGAATCTGCTTTGGGGCCATTTGAAAAGAAAAGTTTGTCCAAACACATCAGCCAATGCTCTGAAATGAGCTGCTCTGCTGTGCTGGATGAAGTTGTTAACAGCCTTTGGTTTTGGTCAGATGTGAAAGGATGCTACAGCTGATCTGCTGGATAGAATCCAGCCTCTCTTTGCAGCTAGGCAGGTACAAATGATGGGCTCTGAGAACATCCTGCCTTCTCAGTATTCAGCTACTCTAACAGACAATGGCAATGAACCATACGTTGAGTAGCAGGAAGCATGCATGTATCTTCCAGATGTTTAGGGCAAACAAAAATTTTACTCTGGTTTTACTGCTATATCAGAAAGATCTAAGCGACATGCGTCAACATTTGAATTTTCTCTTTAGGGTTTTGTTCAAACCCCTTTGGCATTCTTTCAAAAAAATACGTTTTTAAAATTACTGCTAAATTTAGGCAGTGTTCAGACCACATCCACTCTTGATTTCTAATCACTTGTGCGTCTGTAGCAAGGTGTATGTAACAATAAACACATTAAATTTGTTCTTCTGCAGGGGAAAGGCTACCAAAACCAGACAGAGGGAAGATGCGCTTCCATAAAATTGCTAATGTCAACAAAGCTCTGGATTATATCGCCAGCAAAGGAGTAAAACTTGTGTCAATTGGTGCAGAAGGTATGTGACAGAGCTTGACAGTGCACTTTACTTAGGTCCTGAGCATTCCCATGGCAAAGAAGTCTGATGAGACCCTTGGTCACATTATGTGGACTGTTTTCTATATATGGGTGACTCAAAAATCCCTCAATACTGATTGCTGACCTATAACTGTGAAAGAACAAGACATGGAAATTTGTGGACACCTGGAGAGGGATAGGGGTACAAATGAGCTCTAAGATTACTTTATCTCCAAGATTAAGTTGAATTGTCTGTGTTTGAGTGGGTATTGAGATAATGATTTTTTTCTTTCAGAACATTGTTTTTCCTACATTATTGAAAATAAGGAACTCCTTTAGAAACCAGGTTGGATTTAAGGGTGTGCTTTATCCAATATGGGATCTTTTTTATCTTAAGGAGATATTATTAAGACAAGACAGAGGCTGACATCACTACCAAGTGGCTGGGACCTACTCCCATTTTTTCGTGAGGCTGACTGCAGCTGTGTTTCTAAAATTCAAATGCAGGGCTAAGGGAGTGATTGAAAGAAACTATGGTATCTAGAGAGAGACTGAACTTATGAAGAAAGTGGAGTGAGATGCTATTTACTAAAGTAATTACTTTTTTATTGTTCTGTTGTAGCTAAATACAGACCTAGCCCACTTCATTCCATGAGTATTGTTCACCGAATGTGTTCACTTTCTAGATCTAGAACTCAAAATCTCAAGAATTGGATTTTCTGGACAAAGTGTTTTTTTGAACTCACTCTTTATTTATTTGAGACCGAACTGGGTGGGCCATCTGAGTCCACATCCATGCCATCTATCCATAGGCATGTAACAGAGACCTTTTTTGGGGAATATGTCACCAGTGGGGAGAAACAGGCAATTTCCAAAGGCACTTCAGATCTCAGAAGAGCTCTACTGCATTTCAGAGGAGCCTGGCTCCCTCCATCAGTTGTACCAGCAGTCAGGGGCACTTGGGCCCTTTGTTCAATTAAAGTGGGATGAAAAAATATGCTGCTACCTTAAACCTCTGCAGTTAAGGTTCTTCTGAGAGTGACAAGGCATTGAATGGACAGCAGAGGGTACTGAAGAGACAATTTGTGGGTGGAAATGAAAATTAAAACACAGAAGCCTGTTTGATATCTGGTGAAGAAATGCTGAGAGTACAGAGCATAGAGCAAATGAACAGTAGTTTCTGTCTCGACATGCAGGTGGCTCTGAGGCTTCCTGACCAAAGAGTGTAGCAAAGGGAGTATCTTGTGGGACAGAGTGGTCATTGTCTCTGATCACAGTTTGCACAAGGCTGGAATATTTAAACCAAGATACATCACTTCATATCTGCTTCTCAAAGGAGCAGTCCAGCCCTCTGCACTCCCATCTCCCTTATTTTGCTCTGCTTATTGCTGCTTATTGCTGCCCAAGGTGCTCATTGCTGCTCAAGGTGCTCAAGGTTAGGGAACAGTGCTTGAGCACTTCCTGTATCGCCTGACGGCACAGCATCTGGGATAGCTCACATCAGACACTGAAAACATTTAAAATAACCCTGCTGTTCTCCTTGGCAGCAACTGGCATGAATTCAGATGCTCTGTGATTTAGGTGTTCTCTTATGATTCCCTTTGGAAAGGTGGAAGGGGCAGTAACCTCTGCAGCTTTTCAGCCAGTTGCTGCAAGGTTACCATCCATGCGCTCAGTATTTATTCCTGCATGTAACAGCAGGCTATAGCTAGTAACCCAAGGGATTACAGTGATGTTTTTAGGTTTTATTCTCTATTTCTGGAATTCTCAATCTGTAAAATGGAGGGATTAGATGCTAAATTAATTCATTAGCATTAAGAAAAATTAAAATAGTTAAATTCTTGGATGGAAGCATGGGAGAAAAATCCACTGCTACTTTCATAGCTTAGATGAAGAGGAGAACCTGTCATTGTAAGACATTACACTATGTCAAGTATGGCTTGATGCCCATATTAGATTATATCCATGTGGGCAGGAGCAGATAGATTCGTGTGCCTTCTACTCCTACTCTAAAGAGGCTGAATACAAAGCCAGATCTGGCACAGGCGTGCATAGTGTCCTGTTAAGTTTACTACATCCCCTCTACTAAATTTGTTATCTAAGGCACAGTGTGGTGCTGATGCAGCAATACAGTGTCATGTCTGACTGGGTATGGTTTCACAGTGTGGGACCTCTGGCACCAGTATGTGTTTAAAGAGCCCCTGTGCTCCCTGGTCCTGCATACTTGCTCCCACACTTCACAGCCCTACCCTATCACTTGGGCTGACAACTGTTGCTGTAGCTCTGCTGGAGACTGGATCAGCAATCTGATCAGGTTTTAAAACACACTTCACATCCTTTTTTTCTTTTGTTGCATTTTTCAGCATTGTTGACTGGGTTGTCATTGTAGTAGGTTGGAGTGAATGCCAGCAAGGAGGCAGAACACAGTGCCCTTAAGATTGTATTTTTATCAAAGTCCATAACCACTTAACTCACTGCCTCTGTGTGTGAGCACAGGGCATGTGGGCTGGCCCACACCCATCTGTTCTGGCATTCTCTGAGTTACATGGATGCTTGGAATACTTTTTAATTTCCAAAGCATAAAAGTTTTGTATCTAAATCTGCTAAGGATCATTTTCTACTATCTGATATGCTGAATGGTGAGGAGCTTGTAGGCCCAACGGGAATGACTGTCATTTAAAATGTGGCCTCAAAACAATGATTAAACTGTGATTCCTGTGCGACATCAATACAAAGACCAATTTAGTATTTTTAAGGGGCCAGGGACATTCTTTAAAGTCATCATTATTGTTCTGAGCATGACTTCTTTGGGCTATCTGTGGAGTGGAGAGAGCTGATCACCTTTAACTATGATGCTGAGATGAAGCCAAATTTAGCTACTCTGATCTGTCTTGTGTATGGGTCTTTCTCTCCACTGGTCATGATATGAGACTACAGAGTCAAGAAGCTAAAGTAAAACTATGGAAAGTAGTCCTTATGAGCCATTCACAGTCTGGGAATTAGAAGTTTTCCCTTAAGGTTTAATAAAAATGCAGAAACGCTATTTGTAAGGTGATCGCATCCTGAATGAAATCAAGTAAATACGGAGATCCACAAAAGATCTGTATCCTGTTAATTGGAAACATTTCTGTATTGTTTTTCTGGGGAGCAGAAAAAATGTTAAAGACTGAATGAGTCTGCTGCAAGAAGGTTGGAATAAAAAACCCAAAAAGTAGAATAAAAAAATGGAACTAAAACCTTTGAGAACTTACCACTCTGTTTTGCTTAGCTTTTTCCCTAGACAGTTTTTATTGTTTTCCCTTCACTTTCCCTTCTCTCCTTTCCTGCCCTCAAACCCAGAAAGCTGTATCTTTGCATATGTGAGGTGTAGGAACTATATTCCTTCGAGAGGAAACAGGCAGTATTAAGAAACTAATGAAGTCTTCTACTGAACTGTAGAGGAAAATGATAGGAATGAATCAGTATTTTTTTTGTCATTGATACTTTTCAACATTTTAGCAATTTGTTTTTCTTCACTGTCTTTCATAATGAGTCTTTTTTGTGTTTTATGCCTGCAGCAGATAATGAGAAGCCAAAGCTGACAAATCACTTGAAAATTCTCCCGAGGCACAACATAGAAAATTCTCTCTCTTGCTCTTTCATTCAGTCTGTGTGTACATATGGATATGTAAATCAAAAAAAAGATGTAGTGATTATGTAAATCCATGAGTTGATTGCCTGACAATCAGCAATGCCTCCTGAGTATTTAAATTAATTTATTTTAAATTTGAAGAAATTTGTCTTTTCTGTAAATACTTATCGGACATTAAAATACAATGAAGTACTTGACCAAGGAGGAGGGAAGAAAGAGCTACATGCTCTAATTGCCATTTGGTCTTTTTTGTCTGAAAGGGTTTAGTTTTGAGATGTGAAATGACTTGAGATCTTTTAGGGCCAATAAGGTATGATACATGGAAGGCAGGCAGAGTGAGGTGAGAATTCTGGAAAATTAGTGCACGATCCAAAGGGGAAAGCAGAAAAATAGCCATTCATATATAAACTTGAATTATCACACTTACTAAGTATAGACTAGCGATGGGTGACATATTTCCTATTGCATTTGTTAATTCCATAGGTTCAAATGACAGCTTGTGTCACGTCCTACTGCAATTCAACATGAATCTCAAGTCTTGGAGACAGCAGCTGCTTTGTTCTGTAAAAGTTGCCCCTGGATTCAGGCAACTTCTAAGTAGCAGAGTGACTGCATTTTCTGCTGGCATCTCTATTGGCATTTGATGTTAAATTGAGGAAATTCCTCCTGATGCAAGCTCCTCCTGCTCCTTCCCCAGAACACCAGTGGGCCCCCAGGCAGCCACAGCTGCTCCACTTTTTGAGAAAGGCTGGAGGTGACTTTCAAGTAGGGGAGCAGCTGGTGCCTTCCCCCCTCCACTGCTCCTTTGTATGAGGTGACTGGAAAGTCAGTCTGCAGTTCCCATCTCTCATTGTCCCACCTCCTCCCTTTCCAGTGGTGGGCCTTCATTATAGTCTCACTATGTTTTTCTGAGTCTCTTGACTTGCTTTTCAGATTGGTTTAACATTACCAACACATTTAAATGGTCTGGCAGTACATTTTTTGGTGTTGAGAAATTTAAGTGGTATCACTTAATTACAATGTAGGAGCAGGGATTTTGACCTGGCTTTACAGGTAGTCTCAAGCAGTCTTGAAACAAATTGAAACCGCAGAGGTAAAAAAATCTCATTTATATTAAAGACATGTAAATGTGCATATGCATTAGAGCTGTAAGACATTACAACCTCATGGCCACGTTAATGAACAGGCAGGAAGCTATGTAGCTTTGTCTCAGGAGGTGCTGTGTCTCAAGAGCTGTTCTTCATATCTAGTCTGTGCTGGCATTATAGGTAAATTCTCAAACATATCTAAATAGTATAGGGGAATTTCTGAGTGCTGTTAGTGTCCTGTAGTTTCTTAAAATTTGGGTTAAGATCATATTTTTTCAGTTCCTTTGTATTTGAAAACAACAAGGCTGATATTGTTCAAACTTTCCGCATTTCCCCTCATGCTGTCTCTAAAAAGTCACCCTAAAAGGTAAAGATTTGAAACAGTTACAACTACCTGGGGAGAAGGCTTTTAGCATGGAAGGGCTGAAGTGGTCTTAACCTCAGTAGTCTTCAGTCCAGAGTAGCACAACCAGTAGTTTGCTGAAAAATGAATCCAGGTGAACTCTATGTGAATAAAAAATTATCGTAGAAATATAAATAATTTATTAGATGCAATGTATTACTGGTAGAAATCTATGATTAAAATAAGATAAAATTGGAAAAAAACACTCTAAATACTACTGCAATATGTTTTTTTTACCTTAGAAATTGTGGATGGCAATGTGAAAATGACGCTGGGTATGATCTGGACTATCATCCTTCGCTTTGCTATTCAAGATATTTCAGTGGAAGGTAATAGTAATGCAGTTATGTTAAATAATTAGGAAATCTGTTTAAAAGCATTTTTATATGAATTGTGCGTAAGGGAGAGGAGTGTTTTAAAAACAAATTTTTTCACAGAAGATGATACCGCATCTGGTATCATCATTTGCTACCTGGTGACAAAATTAACTTCGGGAGGGAAAAAGTAATTACTCTCCTTATCCTGACAGAGACTTTGAGCCAGCTTTCTACATGCAGAAGTTCTGTCATGTCTCTCAGTTGAAGAGACAGAAACATGACTATGTTTCTGAGCTTCAGTGTCCTGAAACTAATTGCTGTATCCTTTGTGTTTGGTCCTATTTCCAACATACTTTTTTTAGTCCTGAACTGAAACTACAAACATGTTTCATGTAGGCACCAACAATCTTTTATGTCTAGTTGTATTATATTTGTATTGGGTATTTTTCTCCAAATATACAGTCTGCTGTCCAACCAATATAATCCCATAAACTTCTAACATCCCAGGACTTCTGTGCAGGCTGACTCTGTTCTTAACTGAACTCTGTGTTCTAATGGAGCCCCAATTGTCCATTTATATCTTTTAGGATTAAATGTTGGTTTATGCCAGTTTATGGTGGCTGACCATTAGAAATTAATTACTTGGGCACTTTTCACATCTTTCCTCTTTTTTACTCCTTTGTGTCTTTTACAGAGACCTCTGCCAAAGAAGGGCTGCTGCTGTGGTGTCAAAGGAAAACTGCTCCTTACAGAAATGTGAACATTCAAAACTTCCATCTTAGGTAAACTTTCGTTATTTCAAGACGTTGACACAATCTAAAAAATTTTACATTAAATTTTTCCCACAGTTGTGTAGGTATATATTTGATAGAAGAATTTGGCTCTTCACTGTCAGCTAGACTGTTTTTCAGATTCTGGTGCTCTATCTTCAGAGTCTTATTTTGGTTAGCCTTTGGCATTATCTGCTATGACTTCCATAGTTACTATTTAAAAGAAAAAAATCCTCCTACATACTACATAACCATACTACGTTATAAGAAATCTTTGGTATATGGGAATTTTTGAGTACTACAGCACAGTGGCAAATGACTGCTTTCAAACGAGAGCCACTGCAGAAAGCCACAGAGGGACTGTTCTGGCAAAAATACCAATGTATTGAGCATGCAAATATCTCATAGAGAATCAGTCTTTATCATTTTGTAATGTAACTATAAGCAAAGAGCAAAAAATGCACTTAGATCATACACAACAGCAGCAATACTTTAAACATGTTTGTTTTCAGAATCAGGATCATGACCTAAGTTGGAAAACTTAGTAAAGCTCCAGACTTGTGGTTCTCATTAAGAGTTAGAATGGGAGTTCCAGGCCATATACAGGCTGCCTGGTTTGGGGATTTCCTTGGGCTAGTTCCTGAAGCTCTACCAGTGACCTACTTCACTAAACTACATGGCTTGCCATTTGCACTGTTTAACCATGTGATCTTCCCCTCCCTGAAACCCTTCTGGTACTTAAAAAAACTCTTTAATAGTGTTCTGATGTTTTTAATTATTTCTTAATGTGCAGTACCTAAAACACATATAGTGACAGAGAAGATACAGTTCATACATGCATTCCAAGATAAAAAATATTTCATTTACAGTTCCTGTATGGCCTTTCAGAGATCTGAAATTTGCTATGTGTTACTTTCTCAGAATATACAAAGGTATATTTCATAGAGCTTTATATGGATCCAGGGTATACTGTAAGTTACACTACCAGAATCTTGTTCTCTATATGTACCTATTCTGGTCTGATACATGATATGGGGAAAACACATTGAATGGAAGTGCCTTGATTAACGCTTGGGTGGATCAGCTCTTACAGGACTACCTTACAGCAGGCTGTCCAGATTGTTTTAGTTTACACCTTTTGGAGAAAAATTTGTTAGTTTGGTTCTCAGCTTGATTAAGTTTTACCTTCTGGATGATGTCATATTATACAATATAGGTATATTCTGCTTATTGTATTACATTTTTATTGGAGATGGTTCTGTTATTTGAAGGACCTACCCAGACATCTCAGTGACGGATTTTAACAGCCTTAACATGCTTAGGCTCACACAAGGACAAGACCTCAAATTACAGACCCTGTGATTGCTTAAAGTGTTTACATAAAGTATCTTTCAGAATAATTGCTTATGGCTGAAAGAAACCTCTCATAATCTTTCCAAATAAATATTACTTGTATCTCCATTCATTGTCTGTTCTTGCCTCAAGAGATAACGAGTCTGAAGTAATGATGAAGTGTAAGAACTCAGATCAAAGCTGTGATAAGTGAGAAGCATTTTAAATAAACTGAGCTGATTTATGATTTCTTACTTCTCAAAGCACATGGTTGTGCCACTAAACTTCTCTGAAATAACTGACACAAAAAAAGCCAATTGCTTCAGCAAATTCAAGTAATTGCAGGTTTGCTCTTCTTTTTATTTTTTCACAAATATGCTCTAAGTGTAATGGGAGATTATGTTCTATCATTGATGAACATGTACTTGAGCTATCCCAGAACACTGCATGAAATCAGGTACAGTTGCACAAAATGTACACTGTCTTAGAAAGTATATGGAGTTCTTAAGTGTATATGGACTGCAGAGTAAGGTATGTATTACAACAAAAGGAGCACAGTAACAGAACAGCTCAGAGGGATGAGACTTGACAGAACATAAGTGTCAGGATTAGACAGGAGAATTCCTGCTTGATTTTAAGCCTTGAGCAAGGATCAAACTGTAAAATGCCATGACTTTATTAACTAATTTTTTATTTTTTTCCATTTTATTTTTTGTTGTAAAGCTGGAAAGATGGCCTTGGATTATGTGCACTTATCCACAGACACCGACCTGATCTTATTGACTACTCCAAGCTAAATAAGGTCATCAGTCTGGGTGGTACAGCATGCTGTCCTGCAGTGATTTGGCTTGCTTCTGGTTTGCTTAGCATGTTTTCTAGAAGACAGGCTGATGAATGCATACTAATTCTAACTGACTTTCTAAGGTACTTCCAAAAAAACCCCATTGACATGGGGGAGAGGACCTTGTCCTTTCCTTCCCATTACAACAACTTCAGCATCTAATTGCAAATAATCTTGTCCTCAGCTGTTGGGCAGTTGTTGAAGTCCTTTACACTGCCCAATACAGATGTTAAGTAAAACACATGGAATTATCCATTTACTACGGATAGTATTGTACAGTCCATCCTCTTTAGTATCTAGTGTAAATTACTGTAGATTACAGATCAGTAAACAGTGACATGATGATTAAATTCCTTAGAACAAACACTACCCTTGATAATTAGGAGTACCCACTGAGTTATTAGTCTTACATAGAAAATATGCACCAATTCTCAGATTAACTTCTACCTATAGTTCCAGACAAGTGGAAACAAAACTGATATCCTAACTTCCTTAGGTAGTACCTCATGGGGATTGCAAAACTAATTTATTACAGTGTGCTACTCATGGCAAAGTGGGTATTTTCTAAAAGATACCAGCCACTTTCATTTGAGAGGGAGGAATGAGGAACAAACAATAATGTCAGAATTTCTTCTTCTTCAGAATCGTCATTAATGAAGAATAAAACATAAAAAGAAAGTGGAATGTTGTTGTTTTACATTAGGTTTCAATATATACATGCTCTCTGGAATGAATGCATCTTCAGGTCTCACGTAAACACCAGTACAACAGAAAACTTAATCATTGATTTTAATCTGTTAAGTGCAACTTCACATTGATGAGACTGGTAAAACATCAACTGTATTTTCCATTCCATGTCATTACAAATTGATTTTACTAGTGGAATCAACTGTTATTAGAAAGTCTTTGATGAAACAAAAGATAAATGAATAAAGTGAAAATATTTTAAAACTTAGTTTGCTTTATATATATGTTCAGTTTATGCCAGAGTCCCCAAGGTGTGCAGTGATGAAAATTAAATGAACTTAGTACTGAACACATTAGATTTAAATTTAGGTAGCTGTTAGGATAACTGCAGATCTGAACCAAACGGCAAAATATTAGCCATCAATACCAGCTTGTTCTCTAATTCTATATACAACCTTTCCTACAAATAAACAGATTAATGGAATGACTAAGCTACGTGTCTCTGTGCTTATTATGCATGGCACAAAGAGAAGTTAGTTTGATTGAATTTGTGCTTTGAAAAGTGTTACACAGTCCTAAAGAACTTCACAGTATAATAATCCTGTAGACAAGTGCTGAGAAAATGGAACAGAACACAAGCAGGTCTGCCTCAACATTACTATTTCCCTCTTAGAGATTTCTAAAATAAGAACAGGTCAGGTTTCAAATTGAGGCTGAGCTGTGGCACGTAAAGCACATGCAGAAAAAATCCTAAAATAGATCTTGCTTTCCTGACCTGGCTGTGTTTGATTGACTGCTCATTTTGGTTACATTAACAGCTGTCTTGGTGTCTTGTTTCTTGATTTCTTATCTCCTGCATGCTGTCCTTTCCTTTTCACACCAATGCTTTTTGTGTGAACTTGTAGCTGGAAAGATGGCCTTGCTTTCAACGCCCTTATCCATAGACACAGGCCTGATCTTCTTGACTATGACAAGTTAGATGAGGTATTTCTTTAGCTGTAGCAGAGATTTTTAGTTACTGTGGCTTGTAGTTTTTTAAAAAAGGATGGGTGATGGAGATCTCCAATAATTCAGAAGCTGCCGTGATTTTAAAGAAGTGCTTTAGCAGTGGAGCACTGTTTACTGATGGACTTAGTACCAAGCACACAAATATGAGGTGCTCATCACTCATTCATAAGCAAAGTGTTTTAACCTAGTCAATAGGTCTCACTTAGATTTACTGTATTTTTTACTTTGCTTTTCTGTGTCCTGTTTTCCCAGCCTCTCTCTGTAGACATGGGCATTGTTCAGACTGGTCAATACTTCACCAGTTTGCAAATATGTGAAAATAATAATAGCATTTATGGCATGAACTGCCATTTCTCATAGGGTGTTTTCCCTCCAAGCTGATATGGGAAGGCTCCCTTAGTGGTAGGCCCAATCTGACATACTTTTGCATTGTCAGCAACACCTGTCTGTAGTGTAAGACATGAAATGTCTGCTGTCTGTCTGAACTGTGCTCACTGTTTCCTTTTTTCTTTCCTTCGAAAACCAAAGTCTCAAAATCAGAGGAAGTGCTTGAATTTCCATGGCTCTAAAATTCAGTTTATAGAGGCATTGCATATTTTTATGTCCAAGCCCAAACTAGCAAGTTTTGTTCCTCCTGGAGAACTGTTCTGTCTGTGCTTGCTGCTTCTCATGCGTTCACCTGACCAATAGAGAACTCAGAAGTCATATCCCTGTAATATACTGTTGGGTATAAGTTGGGTAAAAAATAGGCAGGACTAACTTTGTTTTGAATGATCTAGTTTAGCCTGCTGGACCAGTGGCCTTTACTGTATGTATTGCTGCTGTACTTAATTCAGAATTAGCCGAGAATTATGAGTGCACACCGCACACAATATCTACGTTCCTCTCCAGAATATGTTTGCCACAGAGTCCTAGTGGTAGATAATAGCCTATTAAAGTTTTCTTTGAAAAGTATAGCAGCAGATAGACCAAAAGTTCATATACCTAGACTCTGCTTTTTGAAGAACAGTAGTTGTGAATGCAGTTTACAGTTTGGAAAACCAGAATACGTTTTATTACCTACTGTAGTTTTGCTTCAAAGAAAAACTTCTATCTTTGACTCAAACTTTTTTCTTTAATGCAGGATGACCCCATAGGAAATATCAACCTTGCCATGGAAATTGCTGAAAAGCATTTGGATATTCCAAAGATGCTGGATGCAGAAGGTGAGGGTTATATCTTACTTGTTTGTGTTGCTTATAAGCAGGACACAGTGATATTTTTTTTAATCTAGCAAGTTTTCAACATTTCTTCTACATAAATCATAATGTAGCAATCTACTTTGTTGTCAAGTAATATTTTCCTTCTTTTTCCCCATGCATTGGATAATTTCCCTCACTTTTTTCTTTGTTACTGGTTGTTTGTTATCATTTGCATTTATTATACTACTTTGAACCCTAACCTCAGCACATGGCCCCACTGTGATAATTGAGGTAGAATGCAGAATCAAGTTAATCCTTGCCTTTAAGTAATTAAAATCTAAGTTTAATAAAGGTAAATACAACTGTTAGCAGCTCAAAGCATATTCACTATGTAAAATGTTTAACTGAGAGGACCAGAAATACAAATGGAAGTACAAAACTTTCAGAATACCTGAAACACATACTGCATCTGAAAGAGAGGTAGGTTGAGGGAAGCATTTTTTTGGTTTACTTTTTTGTAAACTTTTTGCAGTGATAGTTTTAACAAATAGTTTGTGTATCTCCAATAATTTTTAGTTTCCTGAATTTTTTCAAGACAACCGAACTTTTGTACTCTAGGCAAAAAATGCTGCCAAAATACTGGAATTTGCCTACAGTAGTTCAAAGCGTTCATCTCCAAGAATGGAGACTCTGTTCTGCTGGCTTGTCAGTAGAGCAATGATAACACAGGAATTATCCAGAGCACTCAGCTGGCTATGTCTGTTCCTCTTGAAGTCTTCGGTAGGAAAGTTAGGCAGGATGATTTGGAAAATCGAGATTGTAACCTCTTCGTTGAAGAGTGGTTTCACTTTCATGCTTCAAAATAAATTGTTTCCATATTTTGAATTGCAATTCCCCTTTCAAGCACCATCAATTATTTTTCTCTGAAACACTGTGCAAGGAATAAACAGAGAAGTGCTGCCTTCTCACCATTGAGCAGTTCCCACTTTCCTCATTTTTTTCCCCTCTTCATAGTCTATATAAGAAACCCTTTATTTTCCTCACCAGAGTTTCTGCACATTCTAGCCCTTATCTTACTATTTTCCTTTTGGAAGGGGCAGAGGAAATGAAATTATATTTCTTCTAATACCCTCTAAGTATTCATGGTTGCTTTTTATTCTCTTTTCTTCCAGCTTGTTATCAGTGGAAGCTTTGCAAAGTTTTGTTCACAGCTATGTAAAGTAGATGTAAAATCAGTAAATACATTGGTCCTGAACTTAGAAATCTCACTGTTAATATTAGAAATTGTCACCTCATTCCTGGGTCTTTTCATGTTCGTATCTTCCCACTCCTTACATTGACAGGAATCCTTGCAGCTTGCACTAGAATCATTCATTGCTCAGCCATAATTGTTGTAAACCTACCTTTTTCTGCCTTTCTCTGTTACTCATTGAAAAGGTCAATTTTTACCCATGTACCCTTACCTTGATTGCACCCACTGTATATTTTCATTCTTTCCTGCCATAATGGGAGCAAAGATATCAGCCAGCCAAGCCAAACTCTCCTGTGATTTATGCTATTAACTAAAAAGATGGGCTGGCACAGGGATTACAAAACTGTTACTATCCAAGCTTTTCTTAGCACAAAATGTATTTCTGGACTGCAGGACTTCTATGGGTTTCCAATATATTTCAGTACCTCATCAGCTACAGGGTCCCTGTGCTGATACACACTGTATGCATTTCTGTTTTGTGACTGTCAGTGGCTGTGTTTAACTCTGGAATAATTCTAGTGATTTAGATGAAGTTGCTTTGGAGTGGCAGTGAAGCTGAACCCAGTAGATCTGCCAGCCATGCCATCTGCTTGGAAGTTTCCACAAACCAGAAGGTAGCAATACCCTTCTGTACAGTCTCAGCCTTCAGATGTTTTGCCATTTCAGAGAGAGTTGTATCTTTTGCATTTACTGACTCCTAAAGCTCAAGTGGCTTTGCACTGATAACAGCAAACAGATGCAACCTGAATAATGGTGTATTTATCTGGAATCCTTGCAGCACTGAGGTGGCACCATTAGCATAATCAGATGAAAGTACCTTGTGAGAATTTCTGAGCAGTTAACCCTCTTCTCTCTACACAGATGTAGTAAACACTGCCAGACCTGATGAAAGAACCATTATGACTTATGTTTCCTGTTACTACCATGCATTTGCTGGTGCTCAGAAGGTGAGATTGTAGATGGATCAGATCTCATCCTTCACCTTCTGTCTTGTTTCTTTCAGCAATTTTTCCTTTTCTGGTCATTTCCTTGCTAGTTACTAGAACAGCATCTTAGAGCTGAGCTCGTATCCTGTTGCCTGATTTTCACTGTGAACCACTGTCTTAGTAGAGCCAGTAGTAGTCTATCCATTTGTTCCATAGAAACAAACCTTCTTGTCTCATCTTTCTGTATATTTACTAATAATATCCAGTAGGTTTTTGACAGCTGTTTACTGAATGGGATAGAGGACGATACCCTCTTTAAATATTGTGTGCATTCATTTGAAGCACCATTAAAAATGCAAAATGAAAATAAGCTCATAGTGAAAAAACAATTTCAATAGCAGAATGCTATCCTTCTCTCTGCTGGATATTATTTCTGCTATAGATGTCCAAATCATCATAACAGATGCTCAGAAAATAAACCCTTCTCTTATGCTTTCAGGATTGTTTTTAAAATGTTAAATGCTTAATAGTAAGTACAAACAGCAATATAAAATGATGCTACTATGCAAAACAGACACAGAAACATACACAGACATCTCAGACGAGCTCTGGAATTGTGTCCTAAAGAAAAGAAGGAAAATTTTAAAAAGCAAGGCACTTCGGAGTTGGGCATACATCAGGTATTGGCAGTGTAAAGAATACTGATATATAATGCTGAAGTTATTACTAATCCACATGCAACTTCCAGAGAATGTCTCCTCAGATCAAAATGTAGTCTGTCTTTCCTGTGTCTAAGTCAACCCCCCCCACACACACATTCTAAGTCATTAGACATATGCATATCAGCCATAAGCAGACAGTCCTGGTAAAATTGTGGTCGCTCCCCCTCTGACAATACTGCAGGATCAAGCTTATTAAAAAAAAAAAAGTCCTCCTCTTCATAAGAGCTTACAATGAATTTTTAGTGCACATTTTATTCTGTCAGCACCTGTCAATCTAACACTAAATTTATTACAGCTTCTTGGAGTTTCTAGAATTCAGAGCTATGGACAAGAAAACAGTCAGAATGACATAGAGTTGTACATTTATTTATTCATCCTGTTTTCTGCTCCTCGATTCTCTTTTTGCTTTGTTTCAATTTCTCCCCCATCTTGTAGATATTGTGAACACTCCCAAACCTGATGAGAGAGCTATCATGACATATGTGTCCTGCTTCTACCATGCTTTTGCTGGAGCAGAGCAGGTATTAATCAATTGTCCCTTCAGGTTGCTGTGTTTTTGATTGGTTTGTTTCACATTTCCACTTGTTTATTAAAAAAAAATCCTAATTTAGTACTATGTGGTTTTAATTAACAATTGCAAGTACTACTTGAGCACTAATACTTGATTTTAACCAGCTCTCTAACCTTAGTTAAATGTTGTGTAGCAAGTTAACTTATAAAGACTACTTCAGAAAAACTGCATTTGAAGATACTGTAAAATGGAGTTGTTGCTTGTTGCTACAACAATATCTTATGCATTTGCTGCATAAAGGAATGTTTGATATTTGGAGATTGAGACTATTCTAGACTTACTCGTGCTGAGTAGTAATTTAGGGCTAGATTTTCAAAGATGACTAAAGGTGCAGAAAGGCACAGAAGACATCCAACACAGTATTTGTTTCTGCTTCCCACAGAAGCCAACAGAATTATTCGTGGATCAAAGTACTGCATAAAAGGCATGAACATCAGCAGCAGACCTGTCATACAGGATGGGATTCTCACTTATAAATGTGGCATTTCCCACTGTTCTGCTTCATACTTTTCTAGCCTACAAATGGACATAACCCAACTTAATGTGAAAAAAACCCAACAAACCCTTAAAAAAGTAGTTGATATTTTTCCTAGATCCTCAGGATTTAATTTCCTGTCCTGTCTGGTAGGTCACCTACACCTTACCACAGCACAGCTCTACTGTTGCACCCTCTCGCTTCTCATTATGAAGGTTTTGCTATTCAAGCAAAAGGGGAATTCCAAATACTCTGTAATACAGGAGTCTACACAGATATTTGTTTGCCTAAATGTACTCCAGGGTCACATTTGTATGAAAGTATAGCTCTGTGATCTCAAACTACTAATGTAAATTTTAAATATGGCAGAACTGCACCCTGCCTTCACATATAAGTTTGTCATGAGGCATGAAAAGATTTGCTGTCGGTGGTTGAGCTGCATTTTTTCTCAAGGGTATATCTACATATGATGTGCAGATATAAAGTGGTCTGAGACTCCTGAATTCCATGTGGTATCTTTCCAGTGTGGCTAACAAATCTAATACTTTTTTGGTGTGATTTTAAAAAAATAACCTAATAGAGATCTCTAAGAATGGCCTAAGTTGTCTTTGAAAAGAAAAGGTTTATTAGACAACTGTAATGACAGTTCAAAATTTCCCCTTGTGCAATAAGACTTTGTTGTACAACAAGGGGATGGACTTCTGTGCTGACCTGTGCCTTATTCAGGCCATTGAAATCTATGACTGCAGAAGAAGGGGAAATGAATATCTAAGTAACCTAGGAGCATGAATCAACAACTATAAAAGAATGTGATTTTTTCATTTGCAGCAGCCATGTCCTCTCTCTTTCTCCAAGGCTAGACCTTTCTCAGAATGTGTTTATGACTATGTCCTGTTTATTCGCTGTGTTTTACAGGCTGAGACTGCAGCTAACCGGATCTGTAAGGTGCTTGCTGTGAATCAGGAAAATGAGAGGTTGATGGAAGAGTATGAGAGACTAGCAAGTGAGGTAAAGATGCTGTATCTGTGATGTGGTGACAATGAACTACTGAAAGCTGAAAGATACATGCACGCTCTGGAAGAGTGGAGACACTATGAGTGTAAATCTCACAGTGGCAGGGTACAAAGCCCAGCTGCCCAAGATGTTAAGGTTTAGGTGACTCCTTTGCCACAGACTTCCTGTGTGACCTCCAGCAAGTCAGTCAGTCTTGTTAACATGCCCAAAAGGTGTTTCAAGGACTGTCATGTCTGCCCCAAGACCAGGCTTCTTGTCTCTGTAATCTTCAAAGATAGCCATCCTTGGCCACATGTGGAACATATCATATCCTGTCACTCCAAGCAAGCCCATTGGCTTTGTGTACTGCAAAGCACACCTGGGGGGGGGGTCTGTCAGGGTGTTCACAATTCACCTGTGAGCACAGACAGCAGATGAATGAAGAGGGAGGCACACTGTGCTCCTCCTGTCCTTTCTTGGGAAATGGCAAATCTGAGTCAGAATTACAGATTTATAGTGAACAAGTGAGAGCACTCTTGTCTTTTATGCATAACCTGCAAAAACATACTGAGATCACAGCACTACTGTCTGTGTCTACATTGGCACTAAAGGACATGAGAGTCAAGATTTTTATTTGACCTGAGTTACTTGGCTGGTTTCTGTCCTGATCCCATCACTTTTGAAAAGTGGCAAGTGATTTTGGGTAATTCATATTTTGAGTGTGTTCATCTTTCTGAAAACTGGGCTATTTCTAGAAATACATAGAATATCTGGGCAAGTTAGTTAGAAAAGTATTGTTCAGCTTTGAAAATCTTGTGGTTACTCACCATTAAGGCATCAATTCCAACAGAAGTCAATAATGTTAAAATGGAACAAAGTAATTAAGATTTGTGTGTTCGATATAATCTTTATTTGGTTGCTTTTCCATTGCCTTTGTATGAATTGTTTGTGTTGGTTTGAAAGCTTTTAGAATGGATTCGCCGGACAATTCCTTGGCTGGAAAACAGGACTCCAGAAAAAACAATGCAGGCTATGCAGAAAAAATTAGAGGATTTCCGGGACTACCGCCGCAAACACAAACCTCCCAAAGTCCAAGAGAAATGTCAACTGGAGATCAATTTCAACACCCTGCAGACAAAACTGAGAATCAGCAATCGTCCAGCTTTCATGCCATCAGAGGGGAAGATGGTTTCAGTAAGTAAAGGAGGCATCAATATTCTGTTCACTTTATCAATGATCCCCCAAAAATGTCAACGTGAAGGTTTGATGTTTAGAAACATCAGTCTGTTGCACTTTTGCGACACCAAACCACCCTTTTGACATACTTCCTTTCATTCTAGAATCTTCCTTTCTATTAAGCATGCTCCTGCCTCTTTGAAGGCTTTCCTAAGAACAAATTGTCTTGAGATGCAAGATGGGAATGTTATCAATACTTCTCTGTCAGTGAGGACAAATATTGTTTATGTAAGCAAAACTCACAGTGGTTTCACTGACATTTTAGTCACCAGACCTACAGAAACTGAGATTGCTCAATGTATGTTTCTGCTTTTTTCTCCTTTTAAAAATTCTATTGCCTTCTTTTCTTATGTCTGTGAAGATAAGTATAGTCAGTACCAAGAATCTCCATCTGCTGATAAATGCTGTAATTTGACTGTGGGTCAAAACATTTCCAGTGGAATATAGCAAACCTGGTTTTGTACTCTGTTCTATCATTGTGTTTTGGTTGTTCATAAACAAATGATTGCACTATCTGAAAGAAGCCATTGTCCACCCCCCAAATGCAGGAAATTATGGGCTCTGTTACTTCAGATTCCCACTTACACCTTTGAGTTTCTCAGGAAGCTCACAAAACTTTGTGCACCACAGAAACTGGTAAGATAAGCACCAAATCTTCTTGATACTAATTGTTTTGCTATTGTCAACTTGTGAAAGCAAAGCACTTTTATTTTGATAACAGATAGGTATGTAATAAAAGAACACACACATTGTAAAATGGGAGATAAAAACAATATATCATGAAGACATTCCAAGCTGTGCTTGGAATTTGTGCAGGGGCTCCTTTCATGAACCCAGCTGAATACAAGCCGCTTTTTGAAGCAGGTGTCTGGACTGAAAGACTTCCTGAGCTGCCCAACAACATTATCTATGATCCACGAGTTTACAAAATCTGGACATAAAACCTTCTCTTTTTCAAGCCAAATCATGAATGAATCAGAAATCTGTAAATTTAGATAGAGATTATAGTTTCATCCCCTCTCTTCCATGTATTCTCTTCACAGGATATTGCCGGTGCTTGGCAGAGACTTGAACAAGCTGAGAAAGGCTATGAAGAGTGGCTGCTGAATGAAATACGACGACTGGAAAGACTTGAACACTTGGCTGAGAAATTTAGGCAGAAGGCTTCCACTCACGAACAGTGGGCATATGGTGAGCAGAGATGGCTTTTAACATTTTTAGTGTTTTAATGTTCAAAGTCGAACTGCCAATGCTGAGTATTTGCTAGCCAGGAACTCACTAATAAGTAGTTTGGATGATTTTAGAAACGTAAAATAATAACAGATAAAATGTCCGGTTTTGTTGACTGTAGTTGTGATCCTAAGTTGTTGGCCTGTTGCTAATGAAATGTAACTGTAAAAATCATACTTGAGGTAGTGATTCAAACAAATGGAATATTTGGCATTTGAATATTACCATTACTGCTCATGTATTCCTATGAATTTGTACAGAGCAATCCAACCAGAAATGCAGTGACAGCACCTGTTAAGTGTGAAATTATTAACAGAGGTATTCCAAGTTGATTCTTATTCGGCCATCGTGATGTTTTGAATAGTCCACATAAACTATATGATAATGGACTCATTTCTGCTTTGCTCCAAACCCCATTTATAGTTCTGGGTTTTAATGGTAACCTAACCTTATGTGTGGTTGTAACAGCTATAAGACCATACAGTGGCATTTAGTTTTGTTGGGGACTAGTAAACATGGATCTGCTCAATCATCCTATTGTTTGCCCTGACAACTGTCTTCCTGCTTCTGCCATGCTTTTTCCAGCTAGATTCTTTTCACACTGTGAGAATAAACCAGTCCATCCTGTAATGCAGTTGCTGGAAGCGCACAAGGCTAGAAATGGCTGCCAAGCCGATACTAGAAGGGAAACTACAGTGTTTGTTAGCCCTGAGAGCCTATTTTATGAGCATAAACTACTCATGGTGACAAATTATAGCCGCTGTGCAGGGAAAACTTCACTTAAGCTGGCACATAGCAAGTGAAACAATAGTTGTGTCTGGCTCTAGAATTCATGGAGCTGTGTAATGCTATGTGGTGAGCTGCAGCTGTAGGGCCTGTCTGTGTGGATTCAGTTGTGCAACACAGGAGCTACTCAGGAGCAGTATTTCAGTTTCTACTTACTCTTTGCTTCTCTAGCCTTTTGTAAATAGGTTGGCATTTTCCACTTCAAATTCAGTATTGGATACAAAAGGCAGTCACACATCTCAGGGTTTTTTGGGTTTGGTTTTTTTTACGTGCTGAAACGAATAATGAATTGAAGGCAGAACATAAAAAAGAATAACATATTGTTAGTAAGAGTGAAGCTGAGCATAGCAGTGAGATTTCTGGTTTCATAAGTCTATTCGTAAGTCTATTCTACAAAAGACTTATCACAATGGTTTAGAGATCCAGTTTTTGCTAATATACCATTTTTATGCCAGTTTCTCCAGCAATTTCTCCAGCAATACTCACTATTTTAAACCAGTATAAACAGCCTATGAGAAAATCCAGAAAATACTGTGAGATCTTTAAAACTATATGTTTCTAATTAACACTGTTGGGCTGATAATTTGCTGCTGAATTTCAGTGGGGTTGGGATTTCATCTCATACATACGATTTTTCACCATGCCTGAGTTTAAAAAGTTGATTAAATTTGCAATTTTTCTAACAAATAAATTAGTGAAAAATGAGTAATATTTTAATTTCCTCTTTCAGGCAAAGAGCAGACCTTACTTCAGAAGGATTATGAATCTGCTTCTCTGACAGAAGTCCGTGCCATGTTAAGGAAACATGAAGCTTTTGAGAGCGATTTGGCTGCTCACCAAGATAGGGTGGAACAGATCGCTGCCATTGCCCAGGAGCTGAAGTATGTTCCATTTAAAGGCTTGCAGCTGCTGACATTTAACTTTGCGATAAACTCTTTCCAATGAATTTGATAGTGTCATAGGTACCAACCTAAGAATTCCAGAGATAGCTTCATAAGTATATTATCTGAGCTGGTCACTGAGACCTTTCCCTCATCTCCCCCTTGCCCCCAACCAAATATAGATATTCAACTGACCAAAATTATTTGAAAACAAACATTTTCAACTTGACTTAACAGTAATCTTCTAGCATTAGTTCTGCTGATGAGTCCATTGTGTGTTGATGGGAACCCTGGAGGTGTTTATTTCACAGTTCATATGGTCTGCTGAGAGGTACTGGCTTTGAGTTATTTAACTTAGAGAATAATTCCACTTACACAAATTACAGATCCATCTTCACAAGTATATTGGTCTTTTCAAAGGGTTTCACATCCGCAAATTATAGCAGTGGGTAATGCACTGACTTTCTTGAAGATTTGTCTCTAGTATGTTTATTTTCACAAACACTTCATATTATATTGCAAGTGCCATTGTCTCCATTTTACAGAAAGGACAGTGGGGCATATGGAAACTAAATAAATTGCTCATTGTCACACAAAAAATCAAGCACACACAAGGCTCTTCATAGCAGAGCTAGAGTTTTCACCCACAGTTCTATCAACTTAGCCAGAGGACCAACTCTTACTCAGCCAGCATACTATGCCCAGAGAAAACACAACCAGAGCTGAGAACAACTCTGCAACACATTCAGGTTACATCTATATCGTTGACATCAGCTATATAGGTCGGGGATGTGAAAAGTCAAGGCTCCTGACTGACTCCTTATGGCAACAAAGTCCTGAGTGCTGTTCAGGTTGGTCTGGCTAAACTCTGCTTGCTGGTGGAGCTTGCTTTTGTTTGTGGGAAGGTTGTTAATTCACCTGCATGAAACACAGCTTTGTCAGCAAAGCTCTGCCCACACTGACAGGACTGTAGTATTATTACATACTGATGTTCCTTTTCTGGTCAAGTCATCTTGGTGTATACACCAAGATAAGCACATTCAATTTTATCCCCTTATGCAGTTAATTGCACTAGTTTTGTACTGTAAATCAGTGGTGCCACTCCTGGTCTTAGCAATTTGGCACTTACTTAAATTCCTTCTTCACCCGCAGTATAAATCTGTAAAGCCAGCAGGAACAAATGTGCAGTAGTGGTCGAAACAGGAGCCAAGATCAAAATTCTCAGATTCCTGCCCTTGGCTTCAGCTCTCCAGGTTCCAGTTTCTCATCTTGAACAGGCAAAACACTTACTGCTTAGAAACCAAGTGTTAAAAACATGCTCTCTTTTCACTTTGCAAGGGTCATGACTCATAAACAGCTCCATATTCATTAACAATTTAAAAATCAGAGACTTGTCTAAAATGTAGTTCATACCTGTACTTACAATTACACATACAGTAATTGTGTAATTCAAAGGGATTTAGAAGAAAAATCCTATCTTCAAGATTATTTAAAGGATGAAAAGAAAGCACAGGGGCAGAGTAAGTACTTGTTTTCAGTTAATATGTGAAAGAAATCTGAATAATACAGAGAATGGAGATTGCACCGAGTATGTGAGCTTATGAAACACCTTCTGGTATGCCTTGATCTCCGTTGTGGAGTTATTTCATAGAATCATAGAATGGCTTGGAAGGGTCTTAAAGGGTCTTAAAGATCATCTAGTTCCAATCCCCCTGCAATGGGCAGGGACACATTCCACTAGACCTGGCTACTCAGAGCTCCATCCAAATTGGCCTTAAACATGTCCAGGGATGGGGCAGCCGCAGCTTCTCCAGGCAACCTGTTCCAGTACCTCATCACCCTCACAGTAAGGAATCTATGCCTAATATACAGTCTAAACCTATCTTCTTTCCATTTAAAGCCATTCCCCCTTGTCCTTTCAAAAGTCCCTTTCCAGCTCTCTTGTGGGCCCCTTTTAGGTACTGAGAGGCTGCAATAAAGTCTCCTCAGAACATTCTTTTCTACAGGCTGGACAGCCCCAACTCTATCAGCGTGTTTTCTTAGGAGAGATGCTCCACCTCTCTGATCGTCTTCGTGGTCTTCCTGTAGACCAGGTCCAACAGCTCCATGTTTTTTATGTTGGGGTCCCCAGAGCTGGATGCAGCACTCCAGGTGGGGTCTCACAAGACCAGAGTAGAGGGACAGAATCCTCTCCCTTGACCTGCTGGCCACACTGCTTTTGATGCAGCCCAGGACACGGTTGGCTTTCTGGGCTGCACGTGCATATTGCTGGATCACACTGAGCTTCTTGTCAACCAACATCCCGAAGTCCTTCTCCCCAGGGCTGCTCTCAAGACATCCTCTGCCCAGCCTGTATTTGTGCATGGGATTGCCCCAAGATTTGTTTCTCTTTATACTAAAGAAAGTTTCATTGTTAATTCAGCTTCATGAGTTATGAGAAACGTGGGGAATGTAGTATACGTAGTGGAGCATCTGCTTACCAGTGTTTAGAACCCTGTGTCCTTTACCTCTGGTGACGCCAGTGAACACTGTATCCTATCTATTTTGGGATTGTCTCTTCTCGGTTGTTTCAGTAATTTGCTATGTGAAGTTAAACAAGTTATTTGTGGCCTGGGCAGCAAAGGTGCTGAAAGCTGAATGCATTTAGAGATGCTCTAATTTGACTTCTCTGCTTCTCCATACAATGGGGCTATGAGTGCCTGATTTTCACCGTGACTCAGTAGCCCAGTTAGGCTTAATGCCCTTGGAGAACACTGAATGAAAGGTCATAAAGGTCAGGTTTTATCATTGGCTTCAAGCAGATAGGCAGCTTCTATTTAAATACTGATTTTAATTATTTATACATCATTCCTCCCACAGTAAGATTATGGAGGAAAATGCTGATTTCTTTCTTCATTCATATTTTTAAAGAAGGATTAATATCTGAATGCTAAGAAATGTGCATTTGCACTACACACACGAAGTGTGTGTATATTTTTTTTCCTCATCACTGAATCAGGCCCTTACAGAAATCATCAGCATCTGTGTCTAAATTCCAAGTCAGTACACCTCCATGTTTTGATTAGTCAATCTCTTGGATGCCTACCATTCCTATTTCAAAGGAGAACAATTGCTGCATGACCTTGAACTCTACTTGTTACAGTTTCCTGTCTGTTCTGATATTTTCTGCTGCAGCAGCTCAGTCCACTGTGTGCTTAAAGGTGAAGTTGCCACAAGCTTGTTGTTTGGTGCTGTTTAGATAAAGGATTTTTGTGTGTATGCAAACAGGTGATTCCAGCTAGGATGCTGCTATAAGATTCCCAACCTGTACAGACTTAGATATTCCTTGGCAAAGAGGCATGACAGGGCTTGGATAGGGCTATACATAAAGCTGAAAGAAGACAGGCATTTCTAAAATGAGATTTACCATTTATGACATAGCAAATGCTCACTTGAGTGAGCTGTACTATGAAGAGCCATGTTAATTTATGATCTTTTGTGCTTATTTTAATATTTTCAATCATCAAGGTAAAACTTTTGGAATGCATTTTCTTGTATACCCATCATTTCTAGTATAGCAACTTAATTTCAGCTAAGCAGACCACTGTCTGTAACACTGATTTGGAGAGTCTTTTTAATTCTGGAGACCTGGGCTCAAATTGTGCTTACGTGCATGGTTAACAGGAGCCTTGTTCTGAAGCAGTGCTAAAGCATATTGCTCAGTGGGTTATTTTTGTGACACTATCACTGTTCCTAAAGCAAGCTCATACTTAAATGCTTCTCTGGATCAGGTCAAAATTTGACTAAACTTTTAATTTTTGACTGATAAGATTGAATTACTAGTAAGAGCAATAGGAATAACTTAATAATTCCCAAGGCTGTAGATTTCAAATGACCAAACAAATAGAAATTAATGTTCTCTTAGAAGGTCTGAAACACATGTGCAGCAGTACTTCATGTACTGCAAAGCAAAACTTTTTACAAAATCTGAAATCTAGTCTCTTTAATGTTGAGAGAGATATAAAAATTAGTAGGGCAAGGAATGTAAGCCTGTGTTTTATTTCCAAGCAATTAGTCTCTTATGAGTTATTTCTTTCTTTGAACAGAACTTTGAACTTTCTGTTCTTTGAACAGAAAAATGTTCTGTGACACATATAATACACTTATTTGAAGTAAACAACAGCAGGCCCAGAGGGGTAGTGGAGCTACACTAATGCCACTTGGTAATCTAACTTACAATTTTTGATCCACCAGTGCCCTTTTTAAGAGTTGTTTTGATGTTATTCTCTTACCTATTGTGATGTCCACATAACATATCCCTGGAAGAAATAGGGTAGCAGAGATCTTATGGGCAATGACTGAACCTCCCTGGCAGAGCTGGTGGAGGAATGTGGCACATTACCTTCCAGGACTTTGATTGGAGCTGGCTAAACTCCAATTAGTGAGGGAAAGCAGTCCCTCACTTTCATGGAAGGACCTGCCCTTACCCTAATTGACAAAAGGAAATAAGCGATCCATTGAAGCAAAAATAAAACTTGCTCTCTCAGGAACATCATCTAATAATCTCAATATACTATAATGAAAAAACCCAACTTCCAGCCAAAAATTCAGAGCAGGAAAATAAATCTTAGCCTCTTTCATCCAAAACTCCATGCTCCTGACTTAAAATTTCTTAGCAGATAGATGGCTTTTGTTGCATCCCTTGAAGGCTAATGAAAAGACTTGCTCCAAAGGAGGAAGCAAATTTTTGTATTGAGGAGCCTTTTCATAGTATGACTTGCTGGCAGCTTTCTCTGTACATATAACAGTTTAGTTTCACAATTTTGGGTTGGTTTTGTTATTTTTTTAAATTGTTAGGAGGATTGGGTTATAGAACACCTAGGCAAACTTGACACCTACAAGTTTATCAGCCCTGATGGGATGCACCCACAAGTGCTGAAGGAGCTGATGGACACCATAGCAAGGCTGCTCACAATAGTCTTTGAAAGTCCATGGTAATCAGGAGAGGTGCCTGAGGACTGGAAGAAAGCAAATGTCACCCCAGTATTCAAAAAGAGCAAGAAGGAGGACTCGGGGAACTACCACTCACTCAGCCTCACCTCAGTCCTTGGAAAGGTGATGGAGCGTCTTATTCTGAAGACCATGCCCACCCACATGGAAGATAAGAAGGTGATCAAGAGAAGTAAGGTAAATCATGCTTGACCAATCTGATTGCCTTGTACGAAGAGGCAACTACCTGGATGGATGAGGAGAGAGCAGTGGATATTGTCTACCTTGACTTCAGCAAGGCTTTCAAGACTCTCTCACAACATCCTCATGAGGAAACTCAGGAAGTGTGGACTGGATGAGTGGACAGTGAGGTAGATTGAGAACTGCCTGAATGGCAGATCCCAGGGGGTTGTACTCAGTGGCAGAGAGTCTAGTTGGATTCCTGTCACTAGTGGTGTCCCACATGGGTCAATACTGGGCCCAGAGTTGTTTACCTTGTTCATCAGTGACTTGGATGGAGGGGCAGATGCCTCCTTAGCAAGTTCACTGATGGCAGAAAGTTGGGAGGAGTGGGTAAATATCCCAGAGGGCTGTGCAGCCCTTCAGCAGGACCTCGACAGGTTGGAGAATTAGGCAGAGCAGAACTGTCTGAAGTTCAACAAGGGCAAATGCAGGGTCCTGCAACTGGGAAGGAATAATCCCCTGCACCAGCACAGTCTGGGGGCTGACCTGCTGGGAACTAGCTCTGCAGAGAAGGATCTGGAAGTCTTGGTGGACAATAAGCTGTCCATGAGCCAGCAGTGTGCCCTGGTGGTCAAGAAGGCCAATGGTATCCGGGGGTGCATTAGGAAGAGCATTCCCAGCAGGTTGAGAAAGGCGATCCTGCCCCTCTACTCAGCCCTGGCAAGGCCACATCTGGAGTGCCATGTCTGGGCTCCTTAGTACAAGGGAAATGTGGAGCTCCTGGAGCAGGTCCAGCGGACAGCTACAAAGATGATTAGGGGACTGGAGCATCTCTCTTGTGAGGAAAGGCTGAAGGAGCTGGGCCAGTTCAGCCTTGAGAAGAAACAACTGAGATGGGACCTCATCAGTGTCTCTAAGTATCGCAAGGGAGGGTGTCAAGAGGATGGAGCCAGGTTCTCCTGAGTGGTGCCAAGCAACAGGACAAGAGGCAAAGGGCAGAAACCAAGTCACAGGAAATTCCATCTGAGTATGAGGAAGAATTTCTTTACTGTGAGGGTGGCTGAACACTGGAATATATTGTCCAGAGAGGTTGAGTCTTCTTTACTGCAGATATTCAAGAACTAGCAGGATGCAATTCTGTGCAATGTGCTCTTGGATTACCCTGCTTCAGCAGGGAGGTTGGACCAGATGACCCCCTGTGGTCCCTTCCAACCTGACCCATTCTGTATTTCTGTGATTCTGTTATGGCATTTTATTTTTACCTGTTTTACCATTCTTCACTTTCAACAGTCAATTGATTGCAGAACATCTGAAACCTCTTTTAAACAGAATGTTTCACATACTTCTCAGCTTTATCCCAAATCAGTTTGCTCTGTGGAGGAAGCATGAGCACTGCCTCTGACCTACAGAGCTTCTGGCTTCTGGCCTGTGGCTTCACAGAGGAAAACTGCCTCTATTCTCCTTTTGTCCTCTGTGATTCTCTATGTTACTGGCAGTGTGATCTGTACAATCTTCTTGCAAATTGCCTAGGGAAGAATACTCAAAAAAAGGAAAAAAATTCTATCTGCATTTACTGACTTACTCAAGCCTCAAAGTAAATCTTAGATTCATATTGCCATGTGTGACATAATCACAATCTCTGCAATGCTTAATACTGGGCAAAGTGTCCTCAAGGATCAGCCAAGAGCTGAATTCAGTGGATGGTGATACACTGATAAAAATGACTTTCCAAAGTGTCAAACACATGTATTGTGTTATGGATAGGTATTATCTGCCACCAAAATCAAAAATTCAGTTTGAGGCAGACTCAGTGCAGAGTCTCAGTACAGAGCCTTAAAAATTTATTCCAGTCTCAGGTACAATAGTAAGTTCTTTCTATCAGTATAATATAAGCCTATAAGGTAGGTGAAAAAGGAATGGTAACTGCCACATCCTTTCTGGGTGTGCTGATTCATGCTGGTGGCATATGTGGGTGTGAAGATCCCTGGTCTCTAAACTAGCCAGTTCTGTGGTGTAGCTCTGTGAGGAGTTCCTGAAAAGGAAGATGAAAATTGCTCTCTGTGTCCCAGATCTGGGCAGCCCCTATTAGTATTGCCTGTGAGATAGATTATGCTTTGAATGAACCTGAGGTATATTTCTCAGTTAAATATTTTCAGAGCATAAAAGGATTGAAAGGACCATTGGATTATTTAGAACAAAATATATATTTCAGGCCAATTAATTTAAAACTGTACCAATCATCAGAAACTTGATAAACACCCAGACTAGAGCATGATGGTCTTTGGGAGATCAAATTGCTTGTGCCACAGGAATAGCTAAGATAAAGATGCTTAGACACCTTAATTGTCTTTAATACCTGGATGTCACAGATGGATACTTGATTTTTCTCACAACAGAGGAGATTGATCCTGATCCTGTGCTGTGCTTCTTGAAATGCTGAATGTCTAGATCACACATTCCTATACTGCAACACTTGCTTGCCTTGAGGAGAAATATTGCAAAAAAAGAGGGGAAGAATTACTGAGGGCCAGTGGAAATGTGAACAGGCAACTGCTCCTGTCTTTCAGAAAGTCACACAGATTTTTGTCTTCACTCTTTCTTAGTGAACTAGACTACCACGATGCTGCAAGTGTCAATGATAGATGCCAAAAGATATGCGACCAATGGGACAGCCTGGGAACACTCACTCAGAAAAGGAGAGAGGCACTGGAGGTAAACCATATAACAACGATCAGCAGTTCAGCTGAGGCAGGGAGGGGGAAATGAACCATTTATTTCAGATCTGGAAATGGTGCCATTGAGCATCCACTTTGGAATCCAAACCCTTTCCTCAGATCTCCATTTCATCTTTGTGTGATTTCATTTGCAAACAGATAGGATTGCTCAGAGCAGACTTGAGAGTACTCAGCTGCCAGGGATACTTCTAAAGCAGCAATAAGTGGCATGTAGTTTGTAGCACCACTCTGGGAATTTGATGTCCAGCATGGCTAACAAAAGCCATTGGTTACATACCTTTTCATCCTTGTCTGAATTTGCAGTCTTGCATGCTTATCTGGCCAGCAGTGGGTTAATTTTTTCATAGTAAGTATTCCAAAGCACTGAGTTACTTTCCAAAACCTTGTTTCTTAGGAAAAGAGGAAGTCACATGTATGCCAAAGTGGAAAACATATGTCTAACTCTTCCTTTTTGTACTTACAAGAAATTACTAAATTTACTAAATCAAGATTAGCAGATTTTAGTTCATTTGCAGATAGATCCCAACAAAAATACTTAAAATATCAGTAGTTATACTTCAAAGGCATACACTCACCCCTTTTAATGTGTTAGATATGAGAGTATCTTTACTGCAATTAGTCCCATTGCCTTGAGTGGGAATCCTCAAAGCAGGTGGTGAAATCAGTCAATGCAATCAAATGCTTTGAAAAGACAAGGCACGACTTTGTGCATGGGTGGGTATGTGTTCTGTGGAGCTAGATCTTGCCCTAATAACAAAGGAATGTACTTTGCCCAACCTGTACAGAGGACGGAGAAATTGCTTGAAACAATCGATCAGCTTCACCTGGAGTTTGCCAAAAGAGCTGCTCCTTTCAACAACTGGATGGAAGGTGCTATGGAAGACCTACAGGACATGTTTATTGTTCATAGTATAGAGGAAATTCAGGTAAATGTTTTTTTTTTTGCTTAGAGTCATAGGGAAAACAAGAAAGGAAGATTTTCCTTCCGGGAGAGTAGAACACTTGTAAGAAAAATACCCATATCTCCTTGACATTTTCTTTGTGATGGGCCATGCCTGCTCTATTATAAATAGAGGTCTTTGTTGGTATGAAACAATGGTCCTGATAAAGTCCTTGAGGGCTGTTTTGTGAATGTATCTAAATGTGTTATTTCCTGTATCTACAGATACATGTAGACAGGATGTTTGAGAGGCTGAGAGAGGAGCTGTGCTTATTTACAGCAGATGTTTCAGATGTTGGAAGAAATGTTAAAGTTTTCATGGTTTCCCCCTCTGTTTCTGATTTTAGAGTTTGATCTCTGCACACGATCAATTTAAAGCAACTTTGCCAGAGGCAGATGGTGAAAGACAGGCCATACTGTCGATCCAGAATGAAGTTGAAAAAGTTATCCAGAGTTATAGCATGAGAATAAGTGCAACCAATCCTTACAGCACTGTTACTGTTGATGAGATTCGCAACAAGTGGGAAAAGGTAATGTATGCTAAATACATAAAGGATATTGTAACATGTTCTAGTGTTCTAGTTTAGGAATACTGAGAATATTCAGAGAACTTTAAAATAAGTCTCTAAATTATTCTAGATCATCAGATGCCAGAATGAACTTTCTACAGTACCTTATGCAATCATTTATGTTTGCCAGGCTCGCTTCACAATATCCCTTGCTCCCGTCACTCAGTATTACCTATGTCCTCCTTGGCTTTTAGTGGGGCAAGAGAAGCATGTGTTCAGGCTAATGCAGAGCTGGTGGCTGGCCAAGGGGTGCTGTTAAAAGAACATAAAATTATCGTATTCTCTCTCTCTACTATAAACAGTAGTATGTGTGTTTCTTCTACCCAGATGCTGCTTTTCACAAATGTTCTATAAAATTAGCATTTTTGGGACCATTAATGTTCCATCCAATTAGACTGGAATTGGTATTGGCAATTGAAAATTCCTGGAGAGGGATTAAAGAGAGGCACCTAGAGCATTCCCACAAACTTTATTTAATTAGGAACCAAGACAGATAATATGCTGAAGGTACATTATTGTGTAGAGTGTAGAATTACATAAACTTACATGGACAAGAACACACCCTCAATGGGTTATAAAAACCAAGCAGTAAGGACTAAGGCCAGAATCTCCCTGGGCAATTCAGAAGGGTAAGCCAAACAAAAGCATTTGCAATGAATTAGAGACCTTCAGATCCACATGATGGACAGAACATGTCTCATACTGTCATAATGGCTGTGCTCAAATAAAATGATTTGCACCAGCTGTTCTTAGAACAATTACATAGAGATTGTAAAATCACCCATACTTCAAAAGAAAAACGAAGTAACTGCTCTAACAGCAGTTCAAGTGAAATAATTGTCTTGAACTTGAATCCAGCCAGAGGTGAGAATTTCTTCCCTCTCCATTTCAGTCTGTCTCGTCAGGCTGCCCAAGACCACGTTATCAATTTCATATGTTAGCAAAGAATTTGTTAATAAAAGAGTAATCATGATTCTGGCTTGTTCTTCTGATATAGACCTTCAGACCAATAACAAAAATTAGTCACTGCAGACTTATTTGTTCCATTTATTTTTAAACTGTTCGATTGTGCCTACTCACATTTAGTACTTTCCCACTGTAACAGGTGAAGCAGCTGGTGCCCCAGAGGGATCAATCCTTGCAGGAGGAATTAGCCCGCCAACACGCCAACGAGCGCTTGCGTCGCCAGTTTGCCGCTCAGGCCAATGTCATCGGGCCATGGATCCAGACCAAGATGGAAGTGCGTGTCAGACTCTCATGCAGAAACTGATGAACAAAGCGGTTTATAATTTTTTTATCTCTACTTTATATACAGGGCAACAGCAAAGTCCATGATAGTTTACCAGGTGTTTGATCCTGAACTATTTAGCACCTGTTAAGGTGATTTTTAAAACTGTGGAAGCTTGTACAAGTGGTATCTTAATGGTGAGCAGGAGATTCAGCTCTGAAAAATCAATCACTAAACAATTACTGTTTAGCTTCTGCTTTTTGTAGAAATGATACTAAGATCACTGGGGTCTCAATGTTGACTCCAGATATAAATGTGCCACATTTCTTTTGAAATGTGTTTTCTATGGCAAAATTTCTCATCTCCACTATATGAATGTTTTATTACTATTGCTTCTTAGTATGAAAATACAATGCATTTATGTTAAAGTTGGTCAAATTAGCAAATATGAAGCTAAAATTTTGTGGGACTGGGGGGTGTCTTTGTTTCTTCCGACAGGAAATCGCCCGCAGTTCTATTGAAATGACAGGGCCTTTGGAGGACCAGATGAATCAGCTGAAGCAATATGAGCACAATATCATTAATTATAAACACAACATTGACAAACTGGAAGGAGATCATCAGCTTATACAAGAAGCCTTGGTGTTTGACAACAAGCACACGAACTATACTATGGAGGTAGACATTTACTCCCTTTTGTACTTGTCAGTTTATTCTGCCCTCTTCTGCTGTGTAACTACTGTTCCTGATACGAAGGTACTGCCACAAATGATGAAATTTGGCAGGTTTTATGATAATCTCATAAGATTTGTTTTATTTTCATTTATTTTCACTTTTAGTGAAGAAGTACCCATTTTAGAAATGAGTTCTGTATTTTTCTGAAGGCCATTTTTATTTTTGATGATCCTTGGTCATAATACAGAGTTAGTGGTATGGAAAATGTATCACATAAATACTTGGAGCTGATTTTTTTCTTATTGTACTTTTTATACCCTTAGAAGAATATATTTGATTCTGTAATAAATAAGTATTTTCTCTCTCATAGCACATCCGTGTTGGATGGGAGCTTCTACTTACCACCATTGCTCGAACTATCAACGAGGTTGAGACTCAGATCCTCACAAGAGATGCCAAGGGTATCACCCAGGAACAAATGAATGACTTCAGAGCATCATTCAATCATTTTGACAGGGTACAGTACTCCTGCTTTTTCTCAACTAGCAATCTTTATTCTTCCTTAAAGTGAGTTTCTTTTCATTCCAAATGTAAGCCTTTTTAAAAAACTGCAAATGCAGTAGCAATGGGCTCTTTTTAAAGGAGAACAAAAAGATCAGTTAAGAAAGAATTTATAGCCTTATAAAGTCATAGAATGGCTTGGGTTGGAAGGGACCTTAAGGATCATCTATTTCCACCCCCCACCTTGGGCAGGGATGACACTCGCTAGGTCAGGTTGCTCAGGGACCCACACGACCTAATAGCATTGTACAGATAAATTAAAGATTAATTTTTACTCTTTAAATGTAGTGCAGAATTATAGTTCTGCTAATATGGTTTAGTATTTGTTCAAATAACAACTAGAGCTGAATAAATCTGTGTGTTTTGGCTAATAACATGCCCTTTATTTTAAGATAGTACAGCATGTTCTATGTACTTGCTGTTTGCTTACATCTCATTAAATTAAGATGTAATCTGGATTACAGGTTTGGTTTTTTTTGAATCACAAGTTATGTCCCTAGAAATATATTTGTAGGAAATATAACTGGGGCACTGATAGCTGTCCAGGAATATCCTTTATTTTTCTGGCTGCGTATGGGAAATAACAGGCTGTTATTTTTGTCACTTATCTAAATATTGATGAATAAAAAAGTAGGAAGGAAAACACTACTGTGAAGAAACTTACCTCTATAAGTTATGCAGTATTCATGGTCAGAGGGTTAAAAAGATAACCACTAATAGACACAATAGCAGGCACAATGCAGATAGGGATCTGACATTCCCAACTGGAGAACTATCTGTACATGAGTTAGCTTTGATGGCTCTGCGCTCCCTTGAACCCACCTTCAAAACCAAGTTCGCAGTTCACGTACTGAAAAAAGTTACCACAACGCAGCATCGAGCTGTTGTCTTTTTACCAGTACGGATTGCTGTACTTAACAGTCTATGCATAACTTTTGACTTATATTCTGTTATCATGTGAGTCAGCTTCTTCAAATCATTTCAGGCTATAGCAAAATGCCACTTTCTTTTCCCTTACATCCTGTTTGTCCAGCTCTACTCAAACTGGTTACCCATACCTGCACTTGCATTTGATATCCATTGGGTACTGACAGTCTTAGTTTGCTAAATATTGTTTAGAATACCCTTAACTGTTTAGAAAGAAGAACAGAATTGCCAAACCTCTGCTTTCTGAAGAAACACGCAAGCATAAGGAAGTTTAGCTACACAGGAAAAATCTCAATGTGATCCTAATGCAGCATAATTCTTTTTTTTTTTTTTTTTTTTTGTATTTTCTAAGGAAGTAGAAGATAACATCACAGAAACAGAGATGAGTTTTCTGGGGTGGAAGGATGTAGCATACTAAATGGCTTTCCCAATGCACTGGAGCAGATAACTGAGCAATTAGAGCTATTAAAAGCAGACAGAGTACCAGGCCTGGATAAATTACACGCCAGTATTTGAGAGACCTCATTAAAGGAAAACAGGGACTTTGCACAAACACTTGACAGCTCCCTAAAAACAAGGAAGCAAGGTGACTGAATCCTGGTATATCTTACACTGGATGGCTATTTGTAGGATCCCTGTACCTTTGTAGTTCACAGATGAGTTCTCTGGCACACTTGCAGCAAGGCTGGTTTAGTGGCTGAGGAGATACTATGGCCATCTCTTGGTGCTTCACAATGTCTTGAAGGGAAAAGCTAAATCATACACCAACCGTCCCTATTGTTATGGATTTTTAGGCTTTGCAGATACAGTAAGACTGAGATAGCAGAGGATACAATAGAACAAGGCCTTAAGAAAGTCTGCATGACCCAGAAGAGGGTGGTCATGTCACACAGCTGGCAGCACACTGGAGATGGGCTACAACAATAATGTGTAACACAAAAATTGCTTCCCATCTCCTAGATTCTTACCTATTCCTGACTGTCTCCTTTCCTCAGGCTATAATGATTCATGACTTCAGGCTGTGCTCCTTCTGCCCTGGCTTCTGTTGCAGGAAGCCTGAGTGGCTGGGTCAGAGGGGTAAGGAGACAGATAATTCATCTATCATTCATGATTCATACTCATTTGTTTCTATGGCCTCAATAACCTGGGCCTAGACTGCAAGTTTAGCTGTAGACCTTGCCTTCCCTCATTTCAGATATAATCCAACAGCCTTACAAGAGAGGTGTGGAAGGATTACGTAAAGGGAAAGACCCTTTTGCAAATGCCCTCTTTAGTGGACCCCTTCTGTCAGCATCAGACATGGGAAACTAGTCTAGGAGGACTTCTGACAGTGTAACAATTATGTACTCTGTAGCATAATGCAAGTTAAAGAAAGGAAGAAGGTAAGCTCTAAAACCACTCAGCCATCAAGCCAGGCTTTCTGCAGGGGACAGATAGTAGAAACACTGATAAAAGAGAAGCTTATACGGATTAAATTACAGTGTTACTTAATGGACAGATGCAACTCAATCTACACAGGCTAGAAGGAGATATTGAACAAACATGTTTGAGAAAGGCAGGCTCAATTTTCATTTTTCTGTCTTTCCTATGTCCTTGCACACATGAATCTTTGGTGTTGGTGAATAAAGGAAACTTAGGGTGCTTCAGAGTTATGTCAGCTTACACAAAATAATGAAGACTTTAAACTTGGAATTTAGACAGAGAAGGCAGTAATGGATTCTTTTATGGTCTTGATTTCCTTAAATAGAAATGAAGATTAAAGTGGATTATCTGAAAGTAAGCACTAACATGAAAAATACTGTCTTTTCCATGTCAGATGGAATTAACAGTATATGTAAAAATTTTGTTGCACTTAGCAGCATATCTGAATGCCTGATGCAGTTTAAAAAATACTCTGAAAGAATTGGACTGCCGTTCACAAGGATGAATAGCCAGAGAGGATCCTGAAAATTAATACTGTCTCTGACAAGGAGGCTTTAAATATCTAAGCACAACAGAATCATTTATGCATGCTATAGCTCTGACTTCTGTGGCATTTCTCCAATTTAAAACATTTCTTAATGTCTGACTCTCAGTCTGTGTTGAGGATGTCAGCAAAGTACTAATAGGCAGAGTACTCCCTCATTTTAAAGAACATTTTTTGGGTATACATAAATCTAACGTTTTATAGATTGCTTCTAGAAACAACATCCTTTGCTTATAAATCTGTGGAAGAAACCTCTGTCTTCCTCCCCAGGAAGACTGTATTAAAAAAATAAAAATCTTACAGTTCATAACCCATTATGTGGCTTAATTCTGGAGTTTTTAATCCTTTGAAAGAGAGCTAGATAATTGGGTGAATAGTTTTAAATGTCTTCTACATCTCAAATATTTGAAAGAAAGCTCTTCAGCATTTTACAACTTTTTTTTGGGGGGGAGGCTGTATGTCCCAGATTCTCAAAATGGCTTAAATGGGCACCATGCATCTAAGAATTACAAGGGCAGGAAGACTTCTGTTTCTGTCAGTGCATCCACCATCAGAGATGCGGTGGCACAGAAAGCTTTACAAGTCACCTTTGTAAAGGCAAGTGGTAAATATGCTCTCTCCCTTGGGTCAAGGGGGCAGCCCTCCTGTGTTTCCAACAGGCAGGTACACACGCTGGTACCCCAGAGGTTATTCCTGAGGATGCTGCTGCTTTCCCATTACTCCTTGCTGGAGGTTGTGCCTGAGGGCACAGTCTAGTTGTAGGTATAAATATAAATCTTTAGCAGTGCTGTTATTTCCTTCCTTAATGTGACTGCACAGACTGAAAAAGAGAAAGTGGGACACAATGTCTGAATCACAGAAGCAGCTTAGAAGTGTTCAAAATGATGCTGAATAATGGTATGCAGCCAAACTGGGACACCACACAGACACATTGTCAGTCACTGGTTTTGAAGTCTTTTTATGGAGGGATTCCTTTTTCTATTCAGTATATTTAGTAAATTCTAAATAAGATTGTGAAGTATGTGAGAAAATATCTGCAGCTGCTCTGCCTGCAATATCCTAATGGCTGCTAACATATTCTACTATTGATTTTTGTGCAAACTACAGACTTCAAGTAGGAGGTCTGCATGATGAACAATAGCATCATACCACCCTATATTTTACTAAAAGAAAAACAACAGCTCCCTACTAAAGGAACCATATATTCAGGCTTATGCAGGTCAATTAGCATTCAGGAAAATGAAGGACATATTTAAGAATGGATTAGTTTGACTCAGAAGCTCACTTGTTTTATAAAGCCAAATATAAATCACAAGGAGGAGGGAAAAGATTTCTGGGGACTAATAATGAAACATGAAGTAAGTTTTCAGTGTTTTACTTTGTATTGGCAGGAAAAGATGAACAAGTCAAAGTTATTTATATGCCTTAAAAAATGAATTTCAGTGCCTAATGTTGGTCTACAAACAATAAAAATAAATGGCACGAGCTATTTCCAAATGAGAAAGCCTTTGCATGGACTTGTTCTATGCCTTAATTACAAAATGCTATTGAATCCCTTGAAACTCTGATATACTGCTAAGGCAAATATGCCTTTTTAGGTCACATACAACGGAGATTAGAAAAGAAAATTTCACTACAAGAATGTGAGAATCTGCTATAGCACTTGGCACAACTACTTGGACACTCACTAGGGAGTCCCACTTAACCAGATGACAGCTCTGAGCTCCAGCACAACCATTGCACTTCTCTCCTAAAGAAAATGGTTTCTTGGTAGATGTGCTGTCCTCTCACTCCCATCTGCCCTTCGCTGCTTCTTGCATGACTCCCACTGCCCTGTGTGCCTGGATGGGGAGCTCATGCACACACTGACCACTGACTCCCCGGAGGAGTCAAGTAGCTCATAGTCCTCTACCAACAGCTGCTAGAGATGGATGACAGTGTTTGGCTCTTAGCTCCCATTTTTAGATCATTTTATTTGCAGTCACAAAATAGTATCTTCAGCTTTAGAAATAAGGTAAATTAGAAATAACTTCGCCCCTGCTGTGACCTTCCATAGCCTGTCTCCAGGATGGTTTTTGAAAGCTTTAAGCCAGTCTAGACTAACATTTTCAGGGTGATAAAATAAGCCATTTTGAATGCTTTATAGCAGGAATTATCCTATAAAATGGAAATATTAAAGGATAAAATGTTTACTGTGATTATGGCTTTTAACAAAATGCTGCTCCAGATTTGTAACTTTGCTTTTTTTCTCTTCATTGACTTCCCACTGTTATTTTTCATCTTCCCTTTATGGATCTGGTGGATGTTGACACAGAGGGAGTCAATAACAGCATGATATTTCAAAAAATGCATGGTGTTATTAACTTAATAAAGTACCACTTCATCTTATTAGTATATTAAATAAGCCCAGTGCATTTGTTAAAACTTCTATAATTTTACTTATGCATAGCTATATAGAAATTTTTAAAAAATAAATTATTCATCTAGCAGGCAAATATGTAGCAGACAGAAAAACTTGGATCTTTTCCAAAATGACTGTAAAATCAATAGTGGTAATTTTTCATCTTAGAACATCTTTTTAATTGTATTTATGCTAACTCAGTCTAAAGTACCTCTCTGATAGTACACACTGTGTATGAACAGGAACAAAAAGACAAGCCAGTCTGTTTTTAAGAATTTAGTGGCAGTTTTTTAACCTGCAAAATAGAAAAAAGTATTGGTTCAAAAAAAAAAATTGGTTCAGTTTGATGTGGTGTTACTAGAAGCCACTTAACCTAGAATTCAATGTGGCTTTTTTAAAATCAGTTTTCAAAGCAAAACCTGAATGTATAGATTAAAGAAGACAGATAACTGAAAATAAGTTGCCAATTAAAAATTTATTTTGTACTTCTCTCTTTTGAGATATGTATATTATATTAAGTAATATTATCAGATCAAGAGTGAAGAAATAGTAATTGAGTGGGAAAATATGTTTTGCCCAGGTTCAGTGATATTTTTATTGCATCTCACATACCCTGCATGACAATAGAAAATGAAGGAAGCAAATGGCAGTTCAATAGAACTAAAACTGCCTTGTCAGCAAAAATGTTTATAAAACCCAAAACAAACTCTGTGGAGGAAGCAGAGTTTTGACTCTTTAGTTGAAGTGAGGACCCTCTTTCACTAAGAAAAACGCTAAAGCATGAAACTGCAAAAACCGTATACTTTTCAGGTAATTCATTGCAATATGCTGACATACATTTCCATGAAATTCTGTAAAAATGTGATTATTAATAGAAAAGTAGAATGTTCTCTACTAACCAACTAACCTGATCTGTGACTTTTCTTTCTTTCCTTTCACCTTCCCAAATGCATGACCTGTGATGGGGATGCTAGGACGAGTCTCACAATCTACAGTCTGATGAATTTAAAGCCTGCCTCATCAGTCTAGGACAGGTTGGAAATGACCTGCAGGTAGAGGAAACTGATTTAATTCTGTTTTCAAACAGACCAATATAATAGCCAGAGAGACTGTGTGTTTAAACTCCAGTCTATTGGTCATAATGCTTTGAAAAGATCCTATATCTGGGAAGACAACTGGATTAGATGGACTGTCAGCATCGCTCGGAGCTGTATTTTTCTAAGTGGTTTATATGCAGTTTGTTTCTTTTACTTGGCTTGAGATGTTTTATTTGGATAGATACCCAGGGGAGCTCCTATGCTTCTTGCACTCAGACTTTTCCCAATTTTTCTTTCCTAGGACTCAGTACAAGTTCTCTTATGCTTTATCCAGATTGAGGATGATACAATTCTCTCCAAACCACTGCATTATATCACAGCACAGAGGAAACAGCTACCTTCTTACTATCATGCCATTTAATGTTTACTCAGCTTTCAGTCCAGAATGTCAAAGATATGTTATTGCCTGGAAAACAAGCAACCTCATTTTATACAAGGACTTCAACTGACCTCCTTCTAAGTCTTGTAAATCTCATCCTTTAAGCCAGTATGCATATCTCTGCTGTAGTCCAGGTCTTGACAGCCAGCAGTCAGAAAGAAAATCCCTGTACTTATTTCCCATATGTCAGCAAACAGCTCTCATAATGCACCTACCCTGGCCTTGGAGTGAATTACATGACTGTTTTTTACTATACTTATAGCCACAACAGATTCCATGCAGAACCTCTCAAAGACATTTCATATCAGGGAGGCAGCTTGAGCATCTCCTGAATTTGACTAGTTTAGTAACAAACTTTTCTCCTTGCCCTTCTCTTTGTCTTCCATGGTTGTGTTCTCTGTATTCTTGTCCCATTCATCTCCTCTTCTACCTTGTCTCTCCCCTGACCTTTCCTGATGTTACTTTTTGTGGTGAAAATGTCTGTTTCCTGTGTGTAATATGTTAGTTACTTCTTCCTCCTCTAAAACTGATGATGATTCTGGTGACCTGATCGGGCAACATCAATGAAATACTGTTCATGCACTGGATCCAATATGCCAATGGTCTAAACTCGTCATCTCTCTGGAAATTGCCTGGGATTCTTCAAACCTTCCCTTCTATATTCCTTACATTGTTTTGGTCAATAGAGGAAGAATGGATTGATGGACCATGATGATTTCAGAGCTTGCTTAATTTCAATGGGTTATGATTTGGTATGAGTTTTAAGAAACAATGTCAACTGATTCTGCTTATAGCTATAATGTTAACCACAGTAACACTAAAGCTTGTTTAAATAGACAGAATACTAATATAATTACACAAGATATACTATTTTCTTGTTTCTTTGTTTTTTCTCTAACTTCAAATGGTTAAAAGGGAAGTTAAAACTAGACACTTGAAAACCATATTCTGTGATCCAATGCATTGCTCTTTGAATTAAGGAAATTTTAAAAGTTGAAATTAGGAGTTACTAAATTATTTTTTTTTAAACTTATCCTTTTCTATCTGCATGATGAAGAATGAGTTTGTTAGTGTTTAATTTTCATAAATTTGCTTTGAGAGTTGCATTTTCTTTGCTTCGATTACTTATTCTAAAAATTTCCTCCCAAATTCACCCAAACAAAATGATCATCCTTAGTTAAACTGACATGTACTTGGCACAAAATTTTCAGAATTGTTCCCTCTCTTATTTCAGTGGGTCTGCAAGTACACTGTTTCTTGGGCTATTGTTTCACCTTCCTGTGTGGTACCTAAATTTACAATGGTTTTAGGATGAGGTGGAAAATGAAGTGTTAAGTTAAAACAAGTTAAACAGGCATTGAGGGAGGGTAGGAGGGAGAGAAACTGGAGACAGTTAATTGAAAGGTACATAATTGGTAGTTAGGACAAAGGATACATTTTTCAGAAGCACAGTCCTTTTTACAAAAGAGGGGTGGGCATTTAAGATCCCAGATTTCATCAACTCTGACGTTGATGTTCCTAAGTCAGGAAAATGCTTTAAAGGGTCAGTAACCAGTGGTTCCGACTGGTTTGTGAGAAGTTTGGGCTGCTGGAGATTGATATTACGGTGACCATTTTTTGTTTTGAATTCTGTGAAAGGGTGAAGCTGAGTTTGCCCGAATCATGTCTCTGGTTGACCCCAATGGGCAAGGAACCGTCACCTTCCAGTCCTTCATTGACTTCATGACCAGAGAAACGGCAGACACAGACACAGCTGAGCAAGTGATAGCTTCCTTCAGAATCCTGGCTTCAGATAAGGTCAGTCACCATGCTGCTGGCTGTAAGAATTCAACAGCTTTCCTCTCTAGCCCTTCTTATACAAGCCTTTTAGTAATAGTGAAGCTTTGTTTGCAGTTTGTAAAACTTCAGAGAAAGCAATTGCCTTTTTGTCTTGCTTGGAACCAAGATTCTTACCTGAAATGGGTGCAGAATACAAGGCTTGGTCCATGTATTCTCATATCCCAGAGAGCAAACACAAAATCAGACATCTTAGACAAGACTTGGACAGTTGGTCTGTATAATGGATATATTGTACATCAGGCTATTTCCACACAACATCCTTGATTAGAGAGGAACTCATTCTGCCTTTCATGCTGTTGTCTGGATGTTTCAATGTGAAGTTTGGGCGTCTGGAACATAGCCTGAGTCAGTTGCACAAGACTTTACCTAATTTTGAGCCATGTTGTGACCAAACAGCTCATTCAACAGGGCGATGCAATGTGGTGTACCCCTATCCCAGGAGGAGCCAGAAGGAGGAGGCCCTAGTTACAGGGTTTGTGGGGGAAGCTCCTGAATTTGGCATACTTTCCTGCCCACTGCCAGATCCACTGGTGAGTGGTGTATGAAGATGAGAGGGTATATAATGGCAACACAAGAGCTTCTGGAGGAGTCAGGGCCATAAACAGTGCTGCCAGGAAACCAATCCTGTGCTGTGCAGAAAGGAGAGATCACAGCAGCACAGGTCTATTTGCCCAAGCTCGCTCTATTGATTTTCTCATTCTGCTTGCTTGTATTGATTTTGTGATCTCAGTTAATGTGGACCACATTTTGAATTCCAGACATGTACTCAGTAGCAATTCATGTGGAAGATGGTCTCAGGAAAGGTCTCAGGAAAAAATGGTTTTCATTACACTGCTATTTTAAGCAACGTCAAGTCTGTTAACAGAGGGTATCCCTCATATCATAAATGCAAACCATTAAGAACAATAATGCATCTTTCACTACACATATATTAGAATCTTGAAACTAACAGGAACCATCTGTGTCTGTCCTGTCACTGCAGAAGGGGCAGTAGTGCACTTCTGAGATTCGGACTATGTCGGGATGAGCTGTATCAATAGCAGCCTACCCGTGGCTGCACAGTGCTTGGTAGCTAATGTGCACAGTCACATACCCCAAGACTGCATTTTGACCTAATCAGTTTGTTGGTAGACTTGTCCACTTCAACTCATAATTAGGGATGGAATTTACCAGGGAAAATATCTGGTCTCAGAAAAATAGGCAGGATGTCCAAATTTATTAGTCACAGCTACAGAAAAAAAATAAATATATTGTGTCTTTGAAGAATACATACTGAATTTGTCAATGCTTTTCCCCTTCCCAGCCTTATATCCTGGCAGATGAGTTGCGCCGAGAACTGCCTCCTGAGCAGGCTCAGTACTGCATCAAGAGAATGCCTCCGTACACCGGCCCAGGCTCTGTTCCTGGGGCTCTGGATTACACCTCTTTTTCATCAGCACTGTACGGAGAGAGCGACCTCTGATTCTGTAATTGGCCTCATTCATGGTAGACACTAAAAATACCCACCTTATTGCCCAGATTGCTTCTCAAAAGCTTTGACAAGCTGATTTAAAAACAAGTTTTACAAACACAGTAGGGTACCGTCAGTGTAAAGTGCTAGTAACTAACTGGTGTATACTGAAGTGTGCAGCACGCTAGATATCTGCCTTGTTGGTTTTAGGTTGTCTGTCCTATACGATGCTAGAAAATATATTAAAATATATTTAAAAAAATCTCAAGATAATAACTTTGAAAATATCCATTCAGAAAATAGAATGTAAAACATAAGAACATTGAAACTCACAAAATATTGATCCATTTTCAAAATGTTTCAATGCCATATGCGCTTCTTTTACAATGTTCCTACAAGTATGTTAGAAGTCACGCTTTTTTCTTTTGTAGAGCAATACTATTTTCCTCTCATGATTTCTGATTTTGTATGCTTCTACCGGTGGAATTTAATAAAATATTAAAATGCAGTATTTCAGGGAAGAAATATAACAACTAAGTAAACTACTTAATTACAAAAATAATCCAGAATGCTATGCTTTTGTCACAAAGGATTGTAATATAGGGGGGAAAAGCTGATTAAATTGCAGATTTAGAGTTCTGTAAGCAGTACTTTTCTTTTAGGCCTTTAACTTTTACAGCTGAGGGAGTACAACTTTTATAATCAGAAATAAGAAGGAAGCTAATTTCATATGATCTGTTCTGTTTTGAAACCCTCATTCTTGTCTGTGTTGGACAGTATTTGTTTCTCAGTATAAGAATGCATTATTATATGTATTAGTGGGCAACATTCATCTCTATCCTGCATATTGCAAACTCCCATCTGAGCAAATGTAGTGTGGTTGTCTTGCAGCTTTAACTGTTCACTGCAAAAAATTCAGTTTGTCTTCTACTGCGTCACAGGCTGTTCTGTCTGCATTCTGCTCCTGTGTGCTAGTTGTTTACTGTTCTTTTTCCATCTTGAGAAATCATAGAGAAGTAAAAGCAGTAACTTTTTTACTTGAATCCTACTGACACTGAGGAAATGCAATGTAATAAAAAAAACCCATTTACAAATGGTGAAGTGAGCTGTGCAGCTCAGTGCTATTAAAGCAATGATGTGCCTATTAAATAAAGTCTGCTTTTCAAAACCTTATGAGACTCTGTCATTGTCAATTATCTAGTGGTTCCCTCTAAGAACTGGAAACATTTCTGAACATCAAAGGAGTTTTCAGATGCTAAAAGTTCAAAAAAGTATGTTGTGCATTTCAATACATTGTGTTTCCATGAACAACAATCGCTATGTGCTGCAGGGACAGGTATGGTTTCATGAAGAAAGGTGGATCTCAGAATGAGTGGGAGAGTTTCTATTTAGGTCACCTGAGCACAAATGTCCATAGCTTGTTAGACTCCAAGCTTACGTTGATTTCCATGAGACTTAGGCACTAATGCTTTTGAAGATGTTGGCCTTAACTTTCCTGTATCTCCCTTTTTCCTCATGCAAAAAAGCAGATGTTAAGTATTCAGTGGTGCTTTCACTGGCCTTTGTTTGGAAATCTAAGGATGGCAAACATTAAAAATCTGTGTGTCATTTCAGTGCTAAAGTAGGCACCTGCAGGTAAGGTGCATGGAGTGAGAGCAATTTCAAAACAATCCCGGAGGAGACAGGCAATGATCAAATACCTCTTCCTCCTCCACCTTGTGTTCAAAGGCCAGCAGAGGACTTACTAGGGCTAGGATTGTATCTCCTACAGTGCATGTGCAGCCTTGCACACAGCCATAAGTTGCTACTGCCACGGCTGATACTGCCATGATGCAGGGCTGTTTCTTTCTGTGATGACAGTGCCTGTACAAACTAAGTCAGGAAACTCTGCCTTAAAGCAATGCCATTTCCAGCTAAATGGCTGCTGAACAGACTGAATCCTAGTAAAAAATAACTCTATATATCTCTCACTGTCACAGTTTAATGCAACTGGAAGAATAAAACACTGAGCTTCCAAATGCGGCACAAAAGCAAAATCTCAGTGCTACAGGCAGGATTATGCTAAAAGCTGACAGAGAGACAGTTTATATCTGACACTTCCAACATGTGTTGTTCATGTTCTCTACCTGCTAATTTTTATATTGTGATATTATTCCTATTTTTGATAGTATGGAAGGGACTTCTAAACTCCTCCTTTAGCTAAATATTCTGTTGATCAAAGCATATGAGAGAAAATGTTATCAGCAGCAAGAGAAAAAGACTTTTGCAAATCAATTTTTTCAATCCTATATCAAGTTTCTAGTTTCTAAAGTAGAGTCAAAAGAACCAGTATCAGAGAGCTGCAGGGATTAATTATCTATCCATACTTGTCTAAAAATGTTATACCATATTAATATGCCTTTCATGTAAAATGAAGAAGTGTCATAAAGTGATTTCTTCCATCAATATAAGTAAACTATGTTATTTTACCCTACAGAGGGTAAACCTCAAGGTTCTTTAAAATATTCTGTGGTCACTTTCTGGGGCTATGGGTTTTACAGAGAGATTTCCTTTTCCTCTAAGGCTCCATTTTCAGGAGATGGCATTTGTATATTTCTTCAGGATCACTCTTCACACTAGGAATCAATGCAATGGTGTTTTCTATTTACTCGATTCTGGCAGCAAACTAGTTTTACTACAAAGAAGTCCAGTAACTGAGTTCAGGGTAATGGGTGTGCCAACCACAGGGGCCAAATCAAGGCTCAAAGGGTGAAGGTACATCATTATTTTGAGGATCATGTGAATGAAGGTTATAGAATAACTTACAATTCAAAAAGTCAGTAACGTTTTAAGTTGCCTTAATGACTGTAACACAGATAATGTCTTCTGTGACTTTACATGGACAAAACAGTTCTTTGAAAACCTTCCTGTCAAGATAATCTTGATTTTGTAGTTATAATTTTCAGATAGTGATTTTAGAAAGGTGCTGATGCATTTAGAAATCTGGTCTCAGCTCTATGTTACCTTTATACTTCCTTTCTTTGTACATAGTTTCCAATGTTGCTTTTCTTACTCACTGACCACAAAAGGTTTGGAGCAGAACCGCTCCTAGCAGCTTGTATTTTCATCAGAGAACATCCTGTTGTTCAGTTTCCCTATTCTTGGAGGAGACCATGATCCTTTATTCAGGTTATTCATGGATTTGGATGGTAAGCAGTTTTCTTTCTCAGCTTAAATAGCTTGTGGTTGAGAGAATTCTGGAAGGAAGTAATTGTTCAATTATTGCTAGTGTATGAACAGTCCATTAGGAGCATGTTTCCAGCACTGTAATGGTATCAATATTTTTGGTGGGCTTCTACAAACAGTTCCAGTAATATTTAAATAATAATACCTGTTCATTACCCGTGTCCCTCTTCCCCAGGTTTTATGGTTAACAACCTGTGCACTTATTTGCTTGTGCATCAGTCTATCTTCTGCTTATGTTGAGAGGGCATTTTATTTGAGAAGCCACTTCAGCAGTGTTAAGTCTGCATTATAGATAGTTGTTTGCTAGTATGTTCTGGTGAGATTTCTACTTGTTTCAGACCAAATATTTTTATCTAGGAAAACTGACTGTTCTAAGCTGGATTTTATTTCATATTAGTCTCTTTTTAAAATATGTAATTCCTTTCTAATTTTAAGCCAAGTTGTGGGCTGCCACCACAAAGGACAAGTCTGTCTCCACTTTTTCCATGATCCTGTTTATTTATAAATAGAACAGTTCCCATGTCTAGTTACCATGCTGGCTGGGAATACATATCTAGGGTGCTTAGAATGGTAGATTATCCCCTTGAGCAGCAGCCTATATTTACATTACCTTAAAGTGATTGGGTAACTGTGGAATTAGGGGCCTAGCCACCCACTTTCACTGAAATGCCTTTATTATTCACAACAAAAGAACATTTATGTGCAGACAACAAAGCTTGAGCCAGTATGTGGAGTGCTACTAATCTCCCTCATTAATCAAGTGTTATATTAAACAATAAGCCCAGTCTTTTCCATATATGATCTTGACCAGGATTTCATATACTAATCTTAAAAAGAAAATCCTCTGCCAATTCGCTAGGTTTTGGGAAATGTCATTAGCATTTGTAATACTGCTTTGCACAAATTTGATTATCAGCATATTGCTTTAATTACTTGGAAATCAAATATATTGGATGAATGTCCTAAGAGGATAAAAGTCCTGAGGCTATTTTAACACGCCACTATCCCTCAATTATTTGCACCTGGCTGTTCTGTTTCAAAACCTGGCTGCTTTATTTGGCCTTAACTCATGGAAACTTTCTTCCTTTCAGGACACCTGTTAATACTCCAAGTGAAAAATGCCCTTGAGCGTTGTCCTTGGGAAGAGTGGTTATCTTATGTGCTCTCCTGAGCTGGAGCCTTCCAGCTGCATAAGGGATACTTGTGTCAGAAGCCCAGGTATAGAAGAGCTCTCTTGGCTCAAACACTGAAGGTCCCGTTTCAGGTTTTAGCTAATCTGCTGATAAGACTAAAAGAAATATTTACATAAGTTGCCAGCAAGTTTGGCCTTGATTTGAATGGAACTGTCAAGACAGGCACACCAAATTAATGTAATTAAAAAGAAAAAAAAAGTTCCACAGAAAAGCATAGAATGGCTGTATCAAACACCTTGTTCAGACTTGTATCCTGGCCCTGGCCATTACCAACAGGAGGAATAATGGAAAAATGTAAAAGCGAGACAGCGTGTGGCCATGTGTGCCCAAAAAGTCTCTGAGCTGCCAGTAATTTGTGGATCATGAACTTGTGGAACACTGCACACTGATGCCAAAATTTAGTCTGTTTTTCTGATAAAGTAATATTTCCTCTGAGAGCTTTTTGTATTCCTCTCAGTGGGACCTACTGCATCTATAAATTCTCCAGCAGGCTATTGGATATGCTTGAAAAAAACATTTACTGGTCTTTCTTTTATCTTTTGCAAACGGCTCTTCAAAGTCTTTTTGACTTCCCTGATTATCTGTTTATACTTTACCTGCCAGGATTAATAATCTTATTTTCCTCATATGGACATGGTGCCAGCTTTCTGAAGGATGCTTGCAAAATGCAGGCAATCCAAAAGAGAAGAAATCCTATGTCCCATGAAATAAACCCCAGTCCCAGTTTTAACAAACTCTTTAGCAAAGCTATTTAAATGAAAATCAGACACCCAGTCATGTTTGTTGGGTGCCCAGATGAGTGTGATGAACATGTACAAGAGACACAATGC